ATATTTTAGGTATTTTTCCCCTTCTCAAAAAAATTTTTTGCCCTCATTTTATCAATCCTAAGCATTTTTGCCCATCCCCCACCCAAAAAATTTTTTTTGCCCACCCTAAAAAAAGAAGCTGGATCCGCCCCTGGATCATATGAACTCCAACTTTAGCAAACTTATAGTTGAACTGAGCGTCTCAGAAATATAAACCCAACGATACCAAATTCAACTCGATCCGAACCCAAATGGGCTCAAATCGAAGACCCGAAGCACATTCAGAAGGTTCAATTCATAATTTGGATTACCAAACCATTTTTCAAATATGACATGCTTATAGTCGAATCGAGCGGCTCGACGAGACAAATCCAACGAGCCCAAGATTATTGAATTCTGATATTGTTAAGACCTTTAAATGTCTGACGAACGGTCCATGATCAAGGGATTCATTATTGGCCGTCCATCCGAACCACTCCACATTTGCCCTTGATCCTCCTCCTATTTACGGGTCATGCCATCCTAAAAAAACTATAAATATCCCCTCATTTCTCTTGAGAGGGGATCCAAGCAAGTAAGAAGGAAGAAAAAGAAGAAGATTAGAAGAGAATAAGAGGAGGGAAGAAACTCCTCGCAACCACCGGCGGAGTTCCGCCCGACTTCCAAGTGACGCCGGAATTTTTCCCGACTTCCAAGTGACACCGGAATTTGTCCCGACTTTCGAGTGATGCCGAAATTCATTCCGACTTCCAAGTGATGCCAGAGTTTCGCCCGACTTTCAAGTGACGTCGAAACTCCGCCTGATCGATCTCCAAGTGACACCGAAACTCCGCTTGATCTCCAAGTGACGCCAGAATTCTGTCCGATCTCCAAGTGACTCTGGAGTTTTTCCCGAATAGCATCTAACGCCGGAGTTCTTCCCGGCCACCGACTGATGTCAGACTTCTACGCGAGGCCAGACCGCCGCTCGTTGCCAGATTTCTACCCGATGTTGGACTTCTACCAGTCGTCGGAGTTTCGCCGGACATCTATCCGAAGTTGGATTTTTGTCCATTATTGAACTTCTACCTAATGCCATCCTTCTGATCTCTATCGCCCGCCGACTACGGTTCGTTCGATTTACGTCGCCTGCCTACTACAATCCTTCTGACTTCTATCGCCCGCCGACTACGATTCTTCTGACTTACATCGCCCACCAAATGCAGTCCTTCCGACCTCTGTCACCCGTCGACTATGGTCCTTCAAACTTACGTTACCTGTCGACTACAGTCCTTCTGACCTCTGTCACCTGCCGCCTATGGTCTTTCTGACTTACATCGCCCAATAAATGCAGTCCTTCCGACCTCCGTCGCCCACCGACTATGGTCCTTCCGACTTACGTCGCCCACCGACTACAGTCCTTCCAACCAAACAAATACATCAACAATGATTCTTTGTATTCACATCATGTAATGTACTCTACAAGATGTACATCAAGCTAAGGCCTTCCCCTAAGGAAGGCCCTCATTTGTAATCAACTGCAATACTATTGGATTCATTTAAATTGAGCTAGGCCTCGTGGTTTTTTCCCTTTTCCAGGGGTTTTCCACGTAAAAATCTTGGTGTCTTTAGTGAATGACATACCCTCTCTTTTTATCTCTATGTGTGCCAGATCTTTGTACAAAGTTAAGACGTTAAATTTTATATTTCTCTACCGCCGCGAATACTCCAGGACGCAACAAGTAGTATCAAACAATATTGATATTCATATCGGTATTAATAATAGTACAATGTCATCAGTAAAATCGATGGCAGTAATATTAAGGCAATGTAGTCACAATAAATTTGTATAATAACAATAAATCAGTAAACAATAACAGTAAAACAGTAAAATTGTATAATAATATCAAATCAATAACATGCATTTTAGTAGAATAAATAAGTATGAAGTCCTGATTTAGGCAATGTTTTTCTAGTAAACACTAATCCATATCAATATCCTAATGACTCAATAAAAAGAGTAGTCAATCTTTTCCCATTGTTATAGTAATAAGTCCTTATAACTCAAAATTAGTGTCATATGAATTAATAAAGGATAACACCAAACTATAGTATTTAAAGGAAAACCCGTCAGTCACCATCCTGTACAGATAAACCAGCCTCCAGCCAACATCAGTGAAACTAGCTTTTACTTTTCCTCACATATATTATTAATACAATATTATAACAATAATAACAACCAGTTATTACTCAATCACATACCCACATTCATATCTAATGCTAGTATTAATAATATGCTTACATTAAAAATATCAGTTATTCAATCAGTACAAATAATACAAAATACAATAACTTTTATTTTATCCTAATGAAATTCAATAAATATTACAGTCAAAATGTCAAGAATAATTAATAAGATAAATATAAAAAATTGTGTAGTAAAAGTTCAATAAATAAGGAAAAAATACAATAAAATCAATTCTTATGAGAATAAAAAGTTAAAATCAAACTCTTTAAAAATAGAGGTAAGATTAAAATCACTTACAGTGATTTGAGCAATTTTTACAAAAGCGGCAAAACGAGCTGGCCACTGAAAAATCAGCTTTCTCCATTTTTCTCGGCCGTACTACAATTCAAATAGTAATTCACATTTTTTTTCATTTTCAATTATTTTCAAAAATTTGAATTGTTACACATTTAGAATACCATTCTTTGCCATTGTCTCTTTATCGCCTGATTGCTGTCATCAAAACACCACTCAATAGCTGCCGTAAGACTGCCATCATTGGACCACTATCCAATAATCACTGCCAGACAATCTTTTTTGAACTGCCCCCACCCGACCTTTACCATAAGACCACCATTGCGCTACCTCCATCATCGGACCGCCGTTGCCAAACCTTTGCCGCGCTTGATCCCCATCGCCGCCCAACCACCGACCATTATCGAACCGACGTCAGTACTTGACCATAATTATTTGAACGCACCTCATTCCCTACCGAATCAACAACAAATTTCACCAGTAATTCATACCCTTGTAATCCTACCTTCCTCACATTTGGGATGGACGAATCTTTGTAATCAATGCTCACTTATGATATTATTTCAACTGGCCAAGGCACTGTAGTTTTTTCCCTTCTCTAATTTTTCATATAATAACTTTGATCTCCTGTGCTCTTTTCATTCATTTATTTGTGTGTGACGTATTCCTATAAAATTAGGATGCATACTCACTCACTCTACAATCATGAATTTAGTGGGAGAAAGGTGGTTGCATGAAGAGGAGCAATGTGAGTTAGGGATTTGAAAGAAATTAAGCATGATAATGGGAAGAAATAAACTTGTCATCTCCCTCAAGTTAAATTCTTGTGCTTGCTGGGGGGTGCGGGGGTTTTACCGCCAACTTTCACCCAAAATTTTTTTCGTACAAGGCCTCAATGCTGTGTACCCCAACACCCTAATACTGTGTACCCGGGAGCATCGATGTTGTATTCCTGAGTGCCCTTGCATTGATCGATAGAGAGAAAAGTGCCGCAATGCTCTAGATTCGGCGCTGCAATGTTGTATGACGTCGTAACGTTGCGGGTTTGAGCGCCGCAATATCATGATGACAGAGGCTTGAGAGTCGTAGCGTTTCAAATTGGTGCCGCAACACTACGAGGCAGACTTGACAGTTTTCTTTCTCGTTTAGATTTTAGGGTTGCGTCCCTTGATGTTATTAACTTGACTTTGTCCTGTGTTTTGAGTGTGAGAACAGTGTAAGAGAGAAGAGAAGCATGAAGAGAGAGAAGAGATCTGTACTTATTTCTTCGACTTTTCAATAGATTTCTTATAATAACTAGTTATATGCAACTGTAGTTTCTTATAATCCCTAACCTAGTGATATTATTTCAACTGGCCAAGGCACTGTAGTTTTTTCCTTTCTCAAATTTTTCGTATATTAACTCTGTGCTCCTATGCTCTTTTCATTCATTTATTTGTGTGTGAGACATTCCTGCAAAATTAGGATGCATACTTACTATGCAATCATGAATTTAGTGGGAGAAAGGAGGTCCCATGAAGAGGAGCAATGTGAGTTAGGGATTTGAAAGAAAGCATTATGATAGGAAGAAATAATGGTGAATCGGATTTAGACTTCATTTAAGATAGCTTTTGACCACTGATTTTTTTTTTTTTAAAATTGCATTAGAAAGTTGTTTTAGAAAGTAGTAAGAAAAGTATCCTAGACGAGCAAAAGCCGTTGCCTTGAATTTAATGGCGATCTCCCTTACTGTTACAATGAACAGTAATCTTATTTGAAATTAATTTGTTCATCCTTTCACATTTTCTTCCCTTTCAAGTTTTCACATAAACTTTCCATCTAACATTTGCGTTAATTTGTTTTCTTTATCAATCACCTCTACGGCTGTTAGTTTGATTATTTTCTTATTACACTTATTGGTGGTGGTTCTAATCTCGCTTCCCTTTTCTTATGCAAACACTTATCTAACATAAATATTATTTTAAGCAACTTGCAAGTTGCATTTTCTTCATAGTAGCGTATGATACTCAGCTCTAAAACTGATAGTTCTCATTATGATATGCAGCATGTTTTAGTTAAATTTTTTTAGTAAGTTTGATACAAACTATATGAATCAGAAAAATAGCTTAATTTTTGTCCTTAACGTTGGCCACTACCGCCCGCCACCCGCTACTATTTGTCACGGCCGTTGCCACTAACCACCACGGGCTGCAAGTTGCCATCATCGCCTGTTATATTACACATAGGGACCGTCAACAACCGCCACTCACATCCTTTTATCCGCTACTAACCATCATAATCTTTAATTAGTTTTATATTGCATTCAGTTCACTTCAAGTCAAATGAAAAAAAATAATCGCCCAATGCTTAGTTTGTCAAATTAAATATTAAAGTAAGGTGGATTAAGGAGAAAATGTGTTGCAAGTCTCACTAAAACATGGTTATATAGCTCATAATATATGGTTAATTATATTTTCGCTATTTTAACTAAAGTCGAGCCGATCGAATAACTCACCAGCAGATGATTTTTAGAGTTATCTTATACCTAAACTACTAAATTAAAATATATTTAAAAAATATTAATTATGTTCCAGTTCAAAGCATTGCTTACAAAGAGAATTTTATTTGATCAATATTTTTATAATTTATATAGCTCAAAAGTGCTGCTAAATAATATTTTAAAACCGGCGGATTAGCAATATTTATTTTTTTAATCGTGATTAATCTTTGGGCAGCCGGGCAGGGGGCGGGTAGGGTCGGGTAGGTCCACGGGCAGCTGGGCAGACGTTTTAAACGGGTCGCGTCGTGTCAACCCGAACCCGACCCGTTTTTCAAATGGATCGAATCCGGCAACCCAAACCCGACCCGTTTTGAAATTGGGTGGGTCTAACCCTGACTTTTCGGGTCGGGTCCGGGTCAGGTTTTCGTGTCGTGTCAAATATTGACACCCCTACGTGGGAGAGCATGATTGGGAACCCCCAACCTAAATTTGATTCCCCTCTCATGCGACGTGACCCTTTAAGTAGGGAGAAAATAACCGTGGGTCCTGCACCTGTGGGGCAGAATATTGCTGATAAGCTTGTCAATGGACTAGTTACGCCGCTATGCGCCTTCTAATGGCAGTGGCAACAGGTAGATACCCCTTAAGTTGATCAAAGAAAATAACTGGGAGTCTCTCACTTGTGGCGTTGTTTATTGGTAGTCTCATCAAGTGATTAGTTACGAGGCCACATGCCTCTTAAGAGTGGCAGCGGGTAGATACCCGTTCCAGAAAGAAAAAAAATATCATTGAACTATCATCTAACAACATTTCTCTTCTTGTAAGTAATGGATTAACTACAAGCAATAATTAGTACTAACCAATTTTGTTTAAATCAACAAGCCAAAGCAACCACGCTTAGCTAAATCCTCCACATTCTTTTTTATTTTTAGCAAATTTGATTATAAATTTTTATATTTTGAATATATTAAATTGTTAATTTATGAACACCGCATCTATGAGACTGAGAATGCTTAGTTGACAGCCTAAACAGCTAACCAATAGACTAAATTATATTCTAAACCTTTCTACATATATGAGATCGTTATAGCTGCTGCTCTCACGATCAAATCATGAAGAAACCCATCTTCCTGATCTTCTTCCTCCACCTCACCACCTCCCTCCTCTGCTCCGCCGCCCATCTCCCCATCATCGCCAGCCATGGCGCCCCCCGCGACCGACACCAAGCCTATATCATCCACGTCCTGAAACCCAATGATACCGACTATCTCTCCGACGACCATCGCCTCCGCCACCATCTCTCCTTCCTCCCCACCACCTTGCTGGACTCCGGCGAGCCTCGCCTCATCTACTCTTACTCCCACGCCATCAGCGGCTTCGCCGCCCGTCTCACCCCCGACGAACTCCAATCCATACAAACCAAACCCGGCTTCCTCTTCGCCATTCCCGACCAGGCAAAAGTCAAGCCGCACACAACCTACACACCTTCCTTCATCGGCCTTAATTCCAACTCCGGCGCGTGGCCGGACTCGAGTTTCGGTGAAGGGATCATCATCGGGCTTATTGACACCGGCGTGGATCCCTCCCACGCGAGCTTCGCCGACGACGGGACGATGCCGCCTCCGCCGCCGAAATGGAGAGGACGATGCGATTTCCTTGCCGGAGTTTGTAACAACAAACTTATCGGGGCTGTAGCGTTCGAAGAAGGAACGCATCCGTCCCCGCTTGATGATCTGGGACATGGGACGCACACGGCGAGCACGGCGGCGGGAACTGCGGTGAGGAACGCGAGCGTGCTTGGTCAGGCGGCAGGAGTAGCTACTGGCGTGGCGCCGAGGGCTCATTTGGCGGTTTATAAAGTGCTTTTTGATGGTTCGGGAACGTTCTCGGACATTGTTGCGGGGATCGATAGGGCGATCGCTGATGGCGTCGACGTTCTCTCCATGTCTTTAGGGTCTGTATTTTTCCAAAGAATAGCAACTTTTTTTTATGAAAAAAATAAATTATAAAATTGAAGATCGGATAAAACTATTGGGTATTTATATGTACAACACATAATTTATATATATATTTACATAATTAAAATATAAATGTTAAAATTTTGTTATGTAAAATGCAAATTTTATGTCAAATAAAAATATTATTAATTTATTTTAAATAAAATATATTTTAATGTGATTAAGATATGCATATATTATATAAATAAATATCAAAATTTTGACCAGTTACAAGTTTTGCCAAACAAATTAATAATATTATTTTAAAAAATGACTAAAATAAACTATTACTTAAATAAATAAATAAATATTGACCAAAATTCAAAATTCTTACAGTACCGATCCCAGCGAACTATATGACAACAGCTTAATCACGTCCTCCTTCGCCGCCATGCAGCACAACGTCTTCCCCTCCACCTCCGCAGGTAATTCCGGTCCCTTCCAAAGCTACATCACCAACGACGCCCCCTGGATGCTCACTGTCGCCGCCGGTACCACCGACCGAAGAATAAAGGCCACTCTTTTACTCGGCAACAACAAGACATTCGACGGCGAGACAGCCTACCAACCAAACATCGCCACCATCCCCTTCACATCAATAGTATACCCCAGCGACTGCTCTCCTTCAACCCTCGCTAAAACCGGCGTAACCGGAAAAATCGTAGTTTGCTATCATTCAGACGTTATCGTAACCGGCTCCAACGTGAAGGACGCCGGAGGCGCCGCCATGGTGTTGCAGGGCCCGGCCGAGCGGGGGCTTTCGACTTTTTCCGACCCAAACGTCCTCCCAGCGGTGTCTTTAAACTACCCGGACTCCGACGCTGTTATCGATTACATATGGGCTTCGACATCTACCGCCGTGGCGTCGTTGGAATTCCGGGGAACGCAGTTCGGGGCCCCGAACTCGCCGTCAGTTGCGTCGTTTTCATCGCGTGGGCCTAGCGACTATAACGGCGGCATCTTAAAGCCGGATGTGATGGCGCCCGGGGTTAACGTACTCGCCGCTTGGCCCAAGAGTGTCGGTCCAGACCAAAAATCCAACCCGCCCAACAAAAATTTTAACTTTCTAAGCGGGACTTCGATGGCGGCGCCACACCTTTCTGGGGTGGCGGCGATTATCAAGAAACTGCATCCTGATTGGTCGACGGCGGCGGTGAAGTCGGCGATTATGACGACGGCGTATGCAACTTATCCGGACGGGTCAGCCATTGCGGATCAGTATCCGGACAACCCTGCTCCGCCGGCGGCGTTCTTTGCGATAGGGGCGGGGCAAGTTGATGCTTCCAAGGCTGCGGAGCCCGGGCTTGTCTACGACGCCGGCGTTGATGACTATGTGGGTTACATGTGCGGGTTGGGTTACAGTGATGCACAGGTAATTAAGATTGTATTATATGGGAAATTAAAAAAACGAGTCTTCATTTAAAATTCATAAGAAAAAATGATCTTGCGCATTGCAGGTGAGCGCGGTGGTGCAAAGCAGTGTGAAGTGTGCGGCAGTGAAGAGTATTCCGGCGGAGCAGCTAAACTACCCATCAATATCGCTCACATATGAAGCTGGAAGAAAGAAGAAGAGCGTGAGGAGGACGGTGACGAATGTGGGGGAAGCTAAGTCAATTTACAAAGTGAAGTATGTGGCACCGGCAGGGCTGAAGCTCACGATTACTCCACCTGTACTCGAATTCTCTAAGGTGGGGGAGAAGAAGTCTTTTGCGGTAGGGTTCAGGACTGGCGACGGGGCATCGCCGAAGAGTGGAGAGGTGGCGCAAGGAGAGCTAAGCTGGGTGAAGGACAAGGTGACTGTAAGGAGCCCAATCGTCATCACATTCGCGTAAATTTTGAATTTTTTTTTGTTCTTTATGATTGTTGCACTAATTTGGTGTTCATGTCAAGATGGCATTTTGTTTTTATTTGATTATGACTAAGAATATGTTTAATAAAGATAGAGACTCGCATAATGTTTGATTTCCCCTCACTACACATAGGGCCTCTTTATTTGACACTAAATGAGAATATGTTTTTATTTTTAAATAATTTGTGTATGTAGAAGTAAGAAGGTAATTAAGTTGTAAAAATAGTTATTTTGTGACAACTTTCATGTTGATTTTGTTTTTTTTTTTATTTGGGAGCATAATATTCTAATTTTTTTTATCAAATGCTCTAAAATTTATATTTAATAAGTTATATCTTTTTTTAATGTAAAATGGGTTAATTGGTGGGTTTGTGTCATTTGGATTACTAGCACGTTGGGTTGAGGTCGGTGCTTTTGATAAATTAACAGTTTGGATTTGGGTCACTTTGGTTGCTAGGGTCATTTTTGAGTTGGTATTTTTGACTACTCGTTTATTAAATGGGTTGGATTTTGTGTTGACTGAATCCAAGTCGATCAATTTCTTGTTGAACCCAAACCCAACTTATAAACCCATTTTGACACCCCTGATAAAAAAAGTTATTTAGTTGATGAACAAAGAATACGGTCTTCCCATTTCCTCGCGAATTGGACCGTTGAATTGAATGCTTACTCTTTCGTCATTCTATTATATATATGCAAACTACAAAACCTAACATCATAAGAAATTTATGAATATTTGTTCAAAGTAGATATAAATGAGTCCCCATCCTTCAAATTTAGGATTTATTTCGGATGGTTGCAACTTTTATAAAATGGTTGTAAAGATGCCGTGGAGAAAATAATTTTTTTAAAAATCACTATAAAAAATATCTTTTCAAAATAAAAAAATATTGAAATAGTAAAATAAGAGCTATCAAATAAAAATTATGGTTGTAGAATGCAAAACAAAACAATAAAAAAGCTGTCCTAAACGAAGCTATAATTTCAAAAAGGTCAAAAGTGATTTTCAGCTTCAAAGTTTTTAAAAATAATATAATATTATTAATTTGATATAATAATATATTATAATCTTATTTTTATTTGAACAATAATAAAGTAATGAAAAATTAATGTAAAAAAAAAAACTTGGCTCAAATAAACACAAGAATTGTATACTAGTTCTTAAGAAAAAAATTATATATATCATCGACTAGTATAGACTAAGTTCTAATATTCATATAATAAATATATAATATAGTTGAAGAAATATCATGAAAGAAACATCATCTCAGTTTGTTTATCCCAAATTGACATCGACATTAACTAATGAAAAATAATCTTTGCATAAAAATATGACAATTATGGGTCTTCAATCTATAAAATTTATAGATTTGTAACTTGAACAGATTTAACTCAAATCACCAGATCATTTTAAATCTTTCACTTGTGAACAAACATTCTTTGATTGGCCCTTTGTTAATGTGTATGTTGCCTTAGCTTTAAATTTTTTTCCAATAAGCTTAAACAACTCAAGTTCAAGTCTTTTGAATAGTAATTCCAACTTAAATCATGCTTCTATAGTATCTTTCATCTTGTCCTTTATACCCATCACTATATTGAACATGTTCTCAAATATGTTTCTTTCAATATGAATCAAATTAATGTTATGATGAATAAGATTAGAATGGAAATATGAGAACTCTCAAAATATGCTTCTATTTGTCCACAAATTCTCTCTATCAAAGCCAAAATCATCTACTCTACTAATGGAAAGAAATATATAATTGCCTTGACTAATATAAAAAGATTTTGGGTGAGGTTATGTTTTCAAGTTTGCTCTATTAATAGTGTAAGCTAAGATAACATTATTACACTTTCTTGTGTGTGACTAGCCTACACATCATTTTATTGCTTGCTTAAAAATATTCTTTCTCCTACTATCTTATAATTTATTCTTGCTTGTAATTAAGCATATAATAATATTAATTTGAAGGTCATCTATAAAATCTAATTTTTCATCAAATAATGAGATGCTATTATAAACTTCTTGTTGTTCATTATCTATTGGGTCCTCAATTATCTCTAAGAATGAAATTTAATCATTACATTGATTTTTTAAGTTATCCCTTCTATGACCTTTGTTATAAATTATTTCCCTAGTATTCTTAAAACTCCCCTCAATAGGAGCTTTGGTTATGTTAATTGGGCTAGATATAGAGTGGGCATAATAATAAATCAATGAGATGAAATTGAAGAGATTCAAGTACAAGATTTAGATAATGAAACACATTTATTTTTGTTGCATTACCTACAAGGCATAATGACAAGCTTCTTCTCTAGTTAGGGGATCATATAATTCAACCTCATTCAAAATGGTCATTCTTAGTCCAATGATAATTTTATTAACCAATTGTTAATTATTGTTAGCACAATCGATTTTAAAATTTAGATCTTCAAATAAGTTTAATATTTAATTACAAGGAGGCTAACTTGGCTTAAGGTCGATAAATATACATGTGGATTGGTTCTTAACATATTTTTCATCTCAATATAAGGGTTGTTCTTCTTAATATTTCTCATTTGCTAAGATGTATGCTTCGAAAACCATGTTATGTTTAATGAAAAAATATTTTAGTAAATGTAAATTTTGATACTTATACATCTTAATCATTTAAAGAAGTCATCATTATGAACTTGCCTATAACAATAAGAACAACATCAAGCCTTTATCCTACTGCGTGGGGTCGGTTATATGAATCCTTTTTCTTCAATGTGTCCATTTAAGGGTCAAATTCTCATTTAAATCTAATAAAGAAATGTCATTTCAAATATTTTCTAACCAAGTCATTTTAGGTCTATCTCTACCTTTCTTAACATAGGCCAAATATAATACATCTACTCTCCAAAGAGGGTCATCGGAGGCCAACGTTTTACATGACGAAATCATCTAAGGTGACTCTCTCTAATCTTATATGTCATTGGAACAGCTCCAACCTTTTCTCGGATATGCTAGTTTTGTATCGTGTCTCTAAGAGTAAGTCCACTCATCCACCTGAGCATCCTCATCTTAACAACACTTAACTTAATAATATGCTTATCTTTTAATGGCCAACATTCTGCACCATAAAGCATTGCAGATCTCACCACTATCTTATAAAATTTTCCCTTAAGATTGAGTGGTACTTTTCTATCACAAAACAAACCCGAATCATTCATCCACTTCAATCATTATGAGCTTCAACTTTAAGTTTCTTGAAAGGATCATTAAAGTCACCAACATTCTTATAATGATTGTGTATTCAACTTCCTTTCTGATGATTGGGTTATCTCTTATTAAGTTAATATTCCCATGGGTCAAAATAGGAATCATCATCTTTTATTGGCACATGATAGTTTTAAATAAAGAGTGGCACATGATGTTTATTATTTTGTAAATGATTTATGATCATTTGCAGTTATTCTTTTAATTCTCGCATTTAACTTCATCAAAGAAATATTTATTTTAGGTGTCATTATAATGAATTATAATGTCTAAGGAATCAATAACTTGAGATTGAATCTAATATTGAAAAATAGATTGAGCACCATAATATTATGTTAGAAAATAGATAAAGAGAGATGAGAGAAAAAAGAACTACATATGAGAGAGAGTGAAACAATAACAACAAAAACAACAAGCCTTTATCCCACTGTGGGGTTGGCTACATCAATTATTTTTCTCCATTGTGCATGGTTAGAAGTGAAATTCTCATTTAAATCTAATAAAGAAAGATCTTTTCTAATATTTTCTAACCAAATCTTTTTAAGTCTACCTCTACCTTTCTTAACATAAGTCAAATCTAATACATATATTTTTCTAATCGAGTCATTGGAAGGCTGCCATTTTATGTGACCAAAACAACTAAGGCGACCCTCTCTAATATTATCTTCCACTGGAGCTACTGCAACCTTTCACGTATATGCTCATTTTGTATCGTATCTCTAAGAGTAATCCACTCATCCACTTGAGCATCCTCATCTTTACAATACTTAACTTAATATTATGCTTCTCTTTTAATGGCCAACATTCTGCACCATAAAGCATTGCAGGTCTCACTACCATCTTATAGAATTTCCCTTAAGTTTGAGAGGGACTTGTCTATCACACAACAAGCTCAGTGCATTCCTCCACTTCAACCATCCAACTTGAATTCTACTAATAATAATTCCATCTATTTTAACATCACTCTGAACAATATACCCAAAATATCTAAAACATGTACTCTTATTAATGACTTGATCACTCAAAGTCATAATCCACCCACTAGATCTATTATTACTGAAATTACACTCCATATACTCAGTTTTAGATCTACTCAAATGAAAGCATTTAGACTCTAAGAGTGACCTTCATGATTTAAGTTTACCTTGAACCTCCTTAACAAAAAGCATACACCAAGCTACAACCTCTTGCAAATGTCTGGTAAGAACATCCATGACAAAAACAAAAGATACTTGGGGGGGGGGTGAGCGGCGGCGGTTTTGTGATGGTACTTGACATATTAAGCCTAAAAATTTTGTTAGATTATATAAGCTTTTTAATAAAGTTTTGTTTTGCTTCAAAACACTAAATATTCTTACACATGTAATTTTTGGATGTAAGAAAAAAAACATTCATATAACTAACTAACGAGTCTCAAGTCCTTCAAATAGGAAGTAGTTTCAAGTTTTGCAAGTGAACATGATTGACTCCTATGTATTTGCCCAAAATCCCCTATTTTAATCTGACCTGACACTCCCTTTTGACCTCATGAACAACCCATATTTTGTATCTACCATATTAATAATCATAGTCCCTAATATAATCATCATGTAGGTGCCTTATTGCCACTTCTTATATAAGGAAACCAACACATTAGGTATATTATACCATACAAACAACCCTACATCATGTCCCTTACATCATTAAGAAAAGTAGTTAAAGCCTCTCTAAGCCTCTTAAGAGTTATGAACCATTATTCTCCATGTCACCAAATGACCAATCAACTACTACAAATCTAAATCACTTAAAGAAAATCATTGGATCATAACCACCCTCTCAATAGATCATTGTATTTTACACCCAATTTCAACTTGTTTCATAAGTTATGCTAAAAAATAAGGAATTAAGATGAAATTTCAATTGGAACAAGAGTTCTAAGCCAAACTCATAATTACAATAAAACTATAATTAAATTTACAATGAACCATCGAAATTATACCAAAATCTTCTTAATAAAATGCTAGTAAATTTCATAAATATGCAACATAAAACTTAAATTAAAATCTTTTTTATTCACATATTTATATATTTTTTATAACATTTTATAAAAAAAATCATAATTAACAAAAAATCCAGAACTAGCTGAACTATTACCCCAAATCAACATCTGAAGACCAACCAAAATGGACCACATCATTTTTTTGCTCGGTACCGGTGCTCGATACCGATTTGTACCAAGTGATAGGACACGTTCTGGTTAATCTCCGAACCGTCTGGTGTCTGCACAGAATAATTTCTCGAACTACTGAAAGCTGACAAAGAGCCGTTAAATCAAAAGTATCAGACTGAAATCTTATGATTTGTGATGATAAATTATCTTTGAAAGCAGAGGAAAACCTGCATTGCAAGAGGCACAAGAATCAAAGAGACTAAACATAATTTATAATCGGCAACCCGCATCAGTTTTTCAGCTACTACAATAGATGCAATTGCATCATCAATCCATGCTATTCTTACAACCTGAAGCTCCCCTTTTAACCTTATCAAAAAGAACAAAAGCCATTTTCACCGGAAACATTACATGGGATAAATGAATTAAAATGGAGTTACATGCTTTGCCTGTATGGAGAAATAAATTAATATTCCATATATACAGAACAAAGGCAATGCATGGTTAGAAAATGGGATCTTCAGCCAAATCTTGGTACCACCTGGTTCTGTACTGATGGTTCAGTCCTCCTAGGAAATTGACAAGGGTCTTCTTTTCACAGCAGCCCCAGATACCGGCTTCAAAGCTTCGCCGCCGGGGAGAGGTCCGGTCATGTTGATTGAACCTTTCAGGAGAAAATTGCGATGGAAAAAAAGTTGTCAGCTTTCGTCGTCGAGCACTCCAACATAGGTGAGATCAGTTCTTCTCATCCTCACAGCTCCCTTGAGCCAGCTGCAGGCCTTCAGATTGGAGTGGTCTCCACTGATAGATCCTGCACTGCCACCAGCACTGGAAGTAGCAGAACAGCTTGTGCCATCTTCAAGCAATGTCCAAGGATCAATTTCATTATCAAGATCTTGGGAGGGGAGAGTCTTGTTTTTCATCAGGGGACGTGCGGGTGCCGGCGTCGACGACCTTTGGAAGGGGCTTGAGATTGAAGTCAAAGGTGGCAATGATGATAGTGCTGTTGTTGACATCAATGGAGGATGGTAAGGTAGAGACATAGAAAGCGAAGCAGGAAGTATGGGCATTGCAGCTTGTAGACGTCGCCTAATTGTTGTTGGAAGCTCCATGCGGTCCAAGTCAGCCTATAAGAATGACAAGAACTATTTGTTTGAAAAAAAAAGGGATAAGCAAAACCATTATCAATTTGAAGCATCTCTATTAGCGACATAATTTTCCTATAAGAATGGCAAGAATTATTTGTTCTTCACCACCCTAAAATTGCATGCCAAAGAACAGTTCTATAGACTTTTGAGCCTGTGTTGCTATGATAGAGCTTCTTGTTAGGTACTAGCTAGTAAACTCCTGGCTTGCTTATGTAAAAATGCATGCATCCTCTTTTTTTTTTTTCTAGTTTATCATGCTTGGCAATAGTCGACAATAATATATATTGTGACGTTTATGAGCAGTTCATACCCGAACATTAATGTAATCTAAGTTGGAAAAAATAAAACTTAAACAATTTGTAAACATATCTCGGAGAATTTTAAGAAACTATTAATTTTAGAACTTTTGAATATAAATAGATCCCTGATGCATATTGAATTATTGAATAAAGCACATGTATTCATCTCAAACTAATGTGTGTTGGTAATATTAAAAATCTCGTCTCAAACTTGTGTGTATAAGTAATACAAAAAACATTTGAGTGTACTGCAATTCTTAGTGATAACTTTTGGGGAATGTGTAAGACCGGTTCATCCGGTCTAACCTGGACCATCTTTATTGAGGTAGAACTTCCGCTTGTTTTAGGTAGAACAAGCTGCCGCTTGATAGATTTCCCACCCCTTCCGCAGTGGGGCCTAGGGCATTAAAATCCAATTAAGAGGGGAGGGCGAGGATTTGGGGATTTTTATTACTTTGGTAAATTGCCCGCCCCTTTAGCAAGCTCAATTTAGATCAAATGCAAATGGTTGTTTGGGGATTTGGGATATTTTTGAGTCGTTTAAGTCGGGTTTTTTTCCTAAGGTTAGGGTTGTGCTGTTTGTTGAATTTAAAATTGTTCTAAAGGTCAATTGGGCTCTAGACTGCGGCGGCTAGGGATTTGAGAAAACCGGATTTTCCCCTCCAATTGAAGATCCATTTGTATCTTGCTTTTTCTTCATATATCTTTTAATAAAAAGTTTGTGTCCTTCCAAGTTTTCTCAATTTCTACATCTACTTAGTATCAGAATGCTTCTCTTTATATCTATAAAGACTATATATTTAAGTAGGATATTTTTATCCTTATTCTTTTCATCTAACTGTTGTGATTAATTTTGTGTGTATGATTCAAATTTGATCAAAATTGTTATATGTTAGTTTTTCTTTTTGTGATATGAATTCTAAATTAACATATGGAATTTATTTACTCTCAGGTGACCTGAAAAATTTTAATTTTAGCAGCTTTTCATTTTTTTTAGTGGATGAATTTGTTTATTTGGATTTTGCATAAAAAAAGACAACCTAAATTAAAATTATGAAACAACAAATTACGGTATTTTGTGTACTTTGTGCATCACATCCTGAATATGTAATAGTGAAACCTATATCATAAAATATTAACTTCTTTTATGTGTAACTTCTAATCAAGCTAGGAACTCTACACTCTATTTGTAGGACTGTGGAATAATGAATTGCTTACCACGTTAACTGAATTATGGATTTGAATAATAGAACGATGGAAACAAATTCTATAAAATCATACATAAGATTTCGTTTATTAACCCATCAGTAGAGCCTCATGCACCAGTACATCCTTTACATCATGCCTTGTTTTCAATTTACTTGAAATTAATTAGATGAATTCCACAGTTTCTTTCCTAACTTACTCTATGATACATATATTTAAAGTTATAATTTAATCAAGCTATCAAGTACTCCATTTCACAAGTACATTAAAATATATAACAAATACAAACACATTGAGCAATGAAAAAAAAAAAACATAAAATTGGAACCAACCTGCATCGCTTCGGTTGCCTCACGATCAAAAGCAGAAAAATCTTTAGGAGACTTGACAAGCGACTTGGAGGCAGACTTAGGCTTTAACCAGCTAGGCTTGCAACTGCTCAGTAAACCATGAAGTACACACAAAAAAGTATCAAAGAGGCTGTCACCTGAATAATCCAGTAAAGCAGCAGCTGAAGCCTCAATAGACTCCATCTCCCTCTTTGGCAGAGCCATATGCACCATAGGAACAGACAGGTCTGCATCCTCATGTACAAAACGGGTTCCCACCAGATGAAGTGTAATAGATGCAAGCATTTGCCGCATGTTCCTGTATAAAAGTAAATAATGAAAACCCATTTGAAAGGGAATAAATCTAGAACATGTAACATGCTTCAACCGTAAAATGAAATTTCCCAATGCACATGCATTGTACCCATGTATATTGAGTAAATTGAGTTTTGAAAATTTAGCAAGTACTAAATCATTGACATTGTTCAAATATTGTTGATTTAAGAAAGAAAATAATTTCCAATCTAATCAATGAGAAGATCGCAGGTCTAAATCTTCACTTAAATATTACATTCATTATTAAATATTTATCCTAGTAGTTTTTAATTTCATTAAGTAAATATTCAATATGAAGAAAAAACAAACATATGAGAACACTAACTCAAAGCTGCACCTCAATATCTGAAAAAATTATAGATATATCAATGTAAGTATAAATGATAGGCTAAAATGAGACATTTGTGTTTCGTGGAAGACGTTTAGTAAGTATATGTAGAAATTCTGGACCTATTGGAGGAGGCTGCAGCAGCCCTGCACATAGTAAGGCGTAGTATCGTCTAGAAATCTGGTTTAAATTCTAAAAGTGTACAAAGAAGCCAAATGCAATCATATGGAAGTGGTAGGCATTTCCGCAATCTCCATGAGAGGTCAAAATCATCATATATCCACAAAATTCTAAATTTTATTAGTCATATCATCATAATTAAATAAATAACATGGTTCAATACATAGTGATACACAATTTTGGTATATTTTCTTAATAGAAAACCAACATCATATTTTATTTATTGATGAATTTATTGAAGTATATGCGAAATGATTCATTTGGTATGTATTGGTAATCCACTCCAAATTCTATGTTGATCATTTTGCTAACCATCATTCTAAAGAATGATCGTTTTGTTTTTATTTGTGATTATCAATGCTCTATAATTATTTGTGGTTTAAATTATATTGTAAAAGGTAATTGGGTTTCTATTAAGCTTTGAGGAGTTTCATTATGGAGGACTATTTATTGATTTCTATTTGGTCAAATTTACATGGCCACAAATAGAGAAGTATGGGTCTAATGTGATTTGGCCTTCTAAACTTCAAGGAAACTAGTTTCACTGTTAGTGGGTGAACCATTGCAAATAATCAATGGCATATGATTATGTAAACAATGATACATATTTTTGGCATATTTTTTTAATCATATTGCCATGAACATATCTTTAATTTTTAATGAATTTATTCAAGGATATATTCAATTATTCAGATAGTTTATTATATTCATCTTCTCTAAATTCTATGTCTATCATTCTAAAGAATGGAGTTCTTTTTATTTCTGTTTCTCAGGGGTCTATGTTTGTGTTTGCTTTTAAATTATATTATTAATAATGTTTTTTAATAATTCTATTTATTTCTATTTGGCATTGGGTTTTATTGAAATCTGACTAATATTTATGTGTTTAAGAACAATGGGAGGATAATAGTTTTGAATCCAATATTTCTGTGTTTAAGTAATTTATGCTTTGGTGGGTTTTAAATAGAAAGATATTGTGCTAAGAATAAACTTATATATTGGAATCAAATGCATTACCCTAGTGATTATCGCCAAAGAATGCATTCATGCATTTTTTTGAGTTTCAATTTCTTTGTTCTTAACTTGTTATTGTAGGATTTTTTAGAGGGTGGTAAGAAGGAAAAAAACTACGTGGGTCATAGGAAGGAACCAATGTAGAAACATAACAGTCAAGTTGACATAGGAGGCAACGACAAGCCGTATGTATAATTGAAATGTGAGTACTATGAAAAGTGGTGAAAGGTGGTATCCCTATGATAGAGCACCTATCCGAATCACACAAAAATATCACACCATATGCCAAAGTGTCTAATGCCGTAAGGGAGGAGATCAAAACATACATGAATAAGTCAGCAATGTCAAAGCACCTAGCAAAGAGACAATATGATGATAGAGTTGATGCGGACTCCTATTATGGGATCGAGCGCAACGGTCAGGATTCAACTTCTTCATTACAACCAATGTCCTACACAGAAGCTGACCCTAGAGAGTGTCAGGGAGGCACGGATGAGTGTATGGATGGATATAGGCTGATTTTTTTATGAAAATGTTATCTCATTTAACATTGCAACCTCCCCTTCTTACTACAAAATGATCCATCTAATTGGAACGTGGGAAAGGGTTGAAATTCCATCCATGGATACTGAGAGATGTATCGACTTGGACACAGACAAAAGTTACAATCATGTTTAATGGATGGATATATGTAAAGAGCAAAAGTTTGATGAACATATTGATCAATAATCCTTATGGCGTTGTATGCTTGAAGTCCATTCAAGTATCTATTAAGGTGAAAGATGATGAAGAGTTTCTTTTTTGACTAATTGATTGTTTTGTTGAGGAGGTTGGAGAGCACTTAGTAGTTCAAGTGATAACATATAATGCTTGTGCTTATAGGGATGTTGGGACAAAACTTATGGGGAAGAAGAAACATTTATATTGAACTTCATGTGCCGCACATTGCATAGATCTCATCCTTCATAAACTTGGAGAGCTACTGCAGCTCAAGAATACACCAAAGATATTGGACTCCATGTGTCGCACAAATGACAAATTTTGGCAGAGTGTCGTGTATCTTATCATAACCACTAGTCCACTAGTGTAGGTTCTAAAGATGGTGGATGCCGAGAAGAAGTCTGTTATGAGCTTCATATATAATGCTATGGATGAAAAAAAAGAAATCATTGCCCACAACTGAGGAGAAGAAGAGGGTAGCTATAGAGAAATATGAAATATCATTGATGAAAAATCAGATCTATAACTTCTTTGACACTTACATGCAGTGGTCTATTATCTTAACCCTTAGTATTAATATATAGAGAATAAGTCAACAAATCTTGAGATTAAATTAGGATTATACAATTATATTGATAGACTTATAGCTAATTCAATTGAGAGAGAAAATGCAGACATGCAATTGGTGTCTTCCATGAATAAAGTGAGGTTATTTGGATTATAATAAATAAAGGACAGTTTTCAAGCAATCCATAATTTGATTTGTTGTTTTAACGTATTATATACTCATTTATTTGAAATTCATTCTACTTACTATACTCATTTATCTAAATCTAAGTTGAGTGGTGAATTCAATTTGGTGATGGCACTCCAAAATTGCAGTTTTTCGCTGTGAAGGTTTTGGGATTAATGTGCTCTTCATTTGAATGTGAATGCAGCTGGATCATGAAAAATCAAGTACACACAAACAGAAGTTGTCTGACAACCTTAAGGATGAATTCCTTAGTGTACATCATGTATGATAAGAAATTTAAAGAAATGAAGTTGAAGAAAGGGTTGAAGGATGACGAAAACCCTTTGATTTGTGAGGAAATGACATCAGATGATGAGTGATTTGTAGATGATGAAGTGGAGATAACACCATTTGAATTACGAGAAGAAGATTTGTATATTGATTTCTTTGATAATGATAGAAATAGAGCATCTATATAAAAACCACCATCCAAGCACAAAAAGAACAAAACAAAGAAGGTATATAAAAAAATTCTTTTATTGAATCTTATTTACTTTAAAGTAATACGCATTTTTATGTTGTGAAAAATATTTAGAGAAGATGAAAATAACTGATATAGATGAAGAAGAAGCAGATTGGGAGGGATTGGACTACATATGTGATAAGGTAGGGGAGAGAGCAATTCATTATGACGATGATTCAAACAAAGACCCCCTCGGTGATGACAACGCCGATGACTTCTAAGTTGCTATAGCATTACTAATTCTTTTTTGAATTAAATATTGGTGAGTAGGAAATTGGGGAAGATAGAATTTTGAGTTGAACCATATTTTATATTGTTTTATTATTATGATGTTTGGATTTCAATTATAGTTCACACAATTTATTTCTTATACCATCCTTTAAAACACTATTTGTTTATTATATTAAAAAAAATCTTCATTTTGACTTTACGCAATTTTGGGATTTTGAGGCTTGCGCCTCAAAACACGCCTTGAGGCATACGCCTCGCCTCATGGATGGAAAACACCTTAATACCCAATTGTGCAATTTTAAATCGTGTATGCTACTACTAGTTATTAAAGATGTTATATGTAAACTATTCACATGTCTAAGAATGTAGCATCTTTCTTTATCATGTCACCATGTTCATATCAAACAACATATCCATATCTCAGCTTTATGGTAAATTCAAATGCAAATCATTTTAACTTGACTAAGTTTGTACTAATATTCAGATAATGGAACAAATATGATCATGTTTCTAATGAAATAACTACAAAAAAATTGTGGATTATATTGCAAGATTAATAGGGGCTACAGCCAAACTAGGATTCATCACAATCTTACAATCTTTTGGGGAAGGTACTCCAAGAACATCCTTTTTCAAAGAAGCATGGGTAATTCTATTAGATTATGTATTATATGTAGTTTGGTGAAAAAGAGCACAAGCTAAGTTTAATAATGAAAGTCTTACATGGAGATGTCATCTCTTGTCCTCAGATAGCAACTAAGCCATTATTTGGTGTTGACAAGAAAACAAACAGAAAAAAGAATATTAAAACCTAAACACATTACAACAACTTGGAATAAGTTGAAGGGCTAAAATCCAAGTTACCAAAGCAAATAAAAACCCATGAATATCAAAAATAAAAACTCACTAAATGGCCCCTCACTCTAGTTTTTTATTCCCTATTGTTTATTTCCGGTATACTTACTAATACAGGCCTTGGACAGATCTTATGCTTTTAATTGCCCTCATAAACCATTCAAGAAACTATATTCACCAAAAACTAAGTATAGCAAATAAGCAAAGAAGCTCCAACTTAAAAGAAAAGGTATGGAGGGCAGCACCACGGCAAGGAAATCATTAAAAAATGTCCATATAAATATTCAATTCCAAAGAGAAAACACAATTCATGTTTTTCCTAATTATAATAGTTTGATTTTCTAAGCTCCCAAAAAATAAAATTTCCACATCTTAAAAGTATGTGTACGCAAGAATTTCATTAAAAGCAGTTTAATTAGTAAAAAAACAACATTTTACTTTGTGTATTGTAATAAAAAGGAACCCTCATACATTGCATTGTGCTTGGGACTTCAAAAATGTTGAATAAGAGACTCATTCAAGAATCCTAGACAAGCTAAACAATCAAAGCGGATATTCAACAAAGATTAGTCTGGTGCAACCAATCAAATATCAACCTGATTATAGGTTAGAATTAAAATCCTCTAAGAAATAGAAATCACCCTAATGCCATGTCATGTCAAGCTCAAGCTCCATTTAAATCAATAATAGAAAAGGTTAAAACCAAGGCAACTTTCCAAGACAAGAACCCAAAAACGCATAACAATGATTTGAAATTAGCTGCAACAAATTAGCAATATTGTAAAAAATTATTCAATGGAGAACTTAAAAAGATCCAGTAGTAAACCTAATAAGAACTACAATCTCCTCTCTATGAAAAAAACATAACATTTTATGAGAAACTGTTCAAATAACAACCCTATAAATGGGAGCAAGGTAAGCTCAGCAAAAGATAATTCAACATCCACAGTATTAAAAATAAAAAGTTAGAAAGCATATCAAATGAAAAAAAAAAGTGTCCCTAGCATATATGGCCATATTTGTATCCTGAAAAAAAGCTTTCATATCACTACAAAAAAGAAAAGTAGTACTGAAAGTGTACTCAAAGTTGCAGCAATACAAAAATAGACAAAATCTAAAATGAATGATAAATTAATGTTGATGTGAAAGCATCTGAATTTTGATGGACCCTTGAAAAAGAAGAGGAACTGGTCTAGGTTAGGTAGATTAAAGAAGAGAAAACGAAAAGAGTCACTACATTAAGAGAGAGAGAGAGAGAGAGAGAGAGAAACTTCAGGCGAGGCAACAGAGAATGAGAACAAAGAGTGGGTGCAAGCAGATTAAGCACCTTGCTTTCAATATGTAGTCACCATCTTAATTTTCCTAGAGAAGCTCTTACATAGAACCCTTATTTTATAGTGGGTTCAGAGTAATGATGAAACCAGAAAACTATGGAAAATGGCACGAGAGATCTTCCAAATAAAAAAAGTAGAGTCTTCACTAAAGGTATATTTCTCAAAGAAGAAAGCCTTCAATATAGTCAGAAGGATGTAGCATTCAAATGCCCATTATCACAAAGTTGTGTTTCTGTAGGTGACTCCGGTAGTGTATGGTCTAGAAACTTTAAATCCGAAAGTTTCCATGCATCATGCAAATATCTCTAATAAACAACATGAGCAAGAACACTATGCTAGCTTGGCAGCGATAATATTGGTCGCAAGAACTCGAGCTGTAGGATTTGTGATGGGTTAGAAAGTCGTAAAAAGAACTTCAAAACATCATCCAACACATCTTAAGGTGCAATGGAGCAAAGGTAGAAAGGGTAGGCAATTTAGTTTAGACTTATGCTCTAGCATGATTTCCCACATAAGCTCAGACACGGTCAGAACTAAGCTTAAGCACCAGATCAAACTCAAGCTCAACATTAAATCATGCTCAAGATCTAAGTATCAGATTGATTTCAAATTAGGGCAAAGATATCTAGTAATCTATCTCCTCAACATAGATAGGCTGAACAAGTAGAGTTAGTGGTGTTAATGTGCTAGGTGGAGCTTATAAGACTAATTAAAGACATCTCATAGGCAAGGTTTGTGGGACTGAAGGGGTTAGTGGTGTAGATGAGGAGTGTCTCATGTATGCACCGTAATAATTAAACTTGCGCATCAATATATTGAATCAATCAAAGTGTGGAGATTATCTATATAAGAATAAGATGTGTGAGAGAGATGAGATCGTTCAACATAATTCAAGTAATTGTAATGGTCACAAGGATGATGGGATGCAAGATCATTTACACATAGATGACATTGTCTAACAAATAAATAATACAATTAATACATTTCTTTTAACTAAAGGTTCGTGATCATAGGAATCACAGTAAATAGAACATAATATGAACTAGGAAATCTATAAAGACAATATTGTGCATCATTATAATCACAATAGTATCATATTTTAAATTCACATGATAATATGATTCGAATGTAGCGTAGTTGATCATTAGAGTAATTATGTTATGGGCTAATTTGCAAATATCTATGACTATTATAGAAAGAAGCACCTATTGCAAATTCGTAATTAAAACACGATGGGAGGTGCAATTTTGGAAGGAATCAAAGAGGGAAGATTTTCAACCACATAGTGGGATAAAGGCTTGTTGTTGTTATATATAAGGAAATATAGCAATTATTTAGATATAATAAGAATTTTAGGAAGCTTAGGATTAGGATTTGAAGAAGCAAGAATTTTGTGGAGACATTTTAGTTATGATAAATTGGGGAGTGATTTGAAGGAAATTCATGAGGACATCGATCCAAGGTTCAAACAGGTGTATCGCCGGAAGCATCACAGATCGACGGCCACGATTCAGAGCTTATATTTTTAGTTATTTTGCATTTTATTTTATGTATTCATTTTGTACCCTTATGTTGAGTTGAGTCATGTTAGAAGCAAGAATTTTGTGGAGACATTTTAGTTATGATAAATTGGGGAGTGATTTGAAGGAAATGAACATGAATATGAGTATTTGGCAACGGGGTGGGGAGGCATGGATATGGCACAATTTCAATTGTATGGATCCTATTTTTCTGAAGATGAAGTTATGCATCCAAAAAATATTAGAAAATAAAAAATAAACAAAAAAATGAGCTGAGTGATCAAAATGAGATTTGCATGAAAACCAAGATGAATGAATGGAATTCAGGTAAAGCACTTGAAAAATCACGAAAATATATAATAACCACATGAATGATAGCAACTAAAAACTAAATAAGAAAGAATTTTCATACTTATGTTCCACAATTGGAACAATTCTTTCTGATTCTTATACCAAAAGAATACAAAAAAGTTTAATTCTTGGCCCATGAATAGAAAGAGAAAAATCAATCTAGAGGGATTGAAAAGGTACAAGGGAGAGACTTGATCAAGATAGAGATGCTCAAGGTGAGAGGAGAGACTGGAGAACCAAAAGGGGATGCGAGAGAATTAGTCAACTTCCTTAAAATACTTTTAACACCACCATCAAGAGAGATCAACCGAGTTAAAAATCTTAATAAAAAAAATATCTTCATGAATAAAAAAGCAGACATGACCATTTGTTAAAATATTTAAAATAAACCTAACAACAATAGCATTATGATGATTGTGCATTGCATCATAAACATATCTTAAATTACTTAAACCATAAGCTAAAATTGTAGATGCAACTAAAATCCACATCAATAAAGTATTATCCACCCATTTGCATTGAAATTAATTCAAGTCAAACTCTCCCACATTACAAAGCATGTAAGCTTCGTTCTACATCCATCCTTCCTTTGTCAATGTCATGGCAGCCCAAAAGATACCAAGTCAAAATCAGCCGAAGTTGGAAATTCTTCATTTACATTTCTATACACAGAAATAAATGGAACTCCATAGCACATAAGATGTAATGATCAGAAACCCCATTTTTGGAGAACTGAAAGATGTTAACAAATAGTTGTTACTAAAGCTGCACAATCTATAACTTAGTTTTTTTTTTCCTAAAACTTTAAAAACATCAGAAATAATCAGGCTACTCGTGCAAGATAAATAGCCTACAACTGTATGTCTATACCAGTGCATTTTGACAATCCTGGACGTACATGATTAATGTCATGCAACCTAAACTGCTAAAATGGCAAACAAGCATGTAGACCCAAGTCCATGAGTCCTCATATCCATGAAACAAACATATAGAAATATTGAAAAAATAAATAAATAAAAACATATAGAAATATTGGAAGCTAATATCATAAACAAAACAGATAAGGAAATAACATAAAAAAAAGCAATGAAGGTGTAAATTCACCTATCAGCAAAAACAATAGGTAGTAATCTCACTAAAAATTGCATCCGCAACCATATGGATGCTTTCAGTGCTGCTGCAGATGGAGGAGAGCTATCAGCTACCGTTATGGCTCGCCTACCCAACCCAGGGCTTCCGCCTCGCATACTTTTGCGACTGCTACCCTTATTTGAAGAAACATCAACCCCTGGAGGGCCTACACCAGCCTGCTTATTAACACCGCGAGTGAACATATTTATCTGCTGATCAATCATATTCATCTGTTTTATCAACTCAACAGCAAATGAATTGCATAGATCCGTAGAACTCCTGTCTATACAAGGAAGTATTAATTCAGCAATTGCTTTCTCGATTAGAAAATGCTGACTAGAGGTGATGATGTCAGCATCAATTGTGGAAAAGTTCATCTTGCTAGACCTTTTACCATCACTGCTATCATCAACAACTTCCCCTTCTTCAATGGTAACCATATCCAATTTGTTCTTGTCACCTTTATTTGAAGTAACATCTGCCATAATGTTTGACCAACCCCATGGCCTCCAGGAAAGGGTTTTGATTGAGAGGCCATTCCGCTGAGCAACTGAAACAAGCTGCTGCCTGATGGATTTGCGTCCCAACAAGACATCACTGCCAGCTAAAATCCATTTGATGTCCATCACAAGTGACTCCTCGAGTGATCTTCCAAGGAGATGGACAATTTCAGCATAAAGAGGAGCTGCATCAGGCCTTACAAGAATTCTTGTCAGGATAATTTCAGACAAAAACTTGTCACTTTCAGAAACAGCAAAATTATCAGCATTTGGTGACAGTGATCTAATGGCCTCTACAAGAGACATGTCCTTCATGTCTATTTTCTCAAGAAGAGCTTTTTCGTTCAAAAGAAGTCTCAACTCAACCCACTGCCAATGGAACTTTGCAGGTTGCAAGGTATCCAAAACATGCACAAGCTGATTCAAAAGGTTCTGTTCCATCTCAGAAAATGTCATTGGTTCATTGGACTCTGAAATCAAAGATCCATCCTCTTGAATGAATGAATTGGGAGGCATTTTACAGTCAATAAGAGCATTCAGAAGAAGTCTTGCTCTAAGAGGAACAAATGCCCTTGTTTTCAACTGTTTATCCGGATTATGTAGCTCAAGCATTGCAGCAAACTCAGAATCACCTATATCAGTTGCTAATATATCGTAAAAAGCATGAGTATTCTGGAAACATAAATCACGAAATGGCTGGTGCCGGATAACTTCATTAATTGTCCATGATAAGTTATTATAGAGGTGAATTTCTTCACGAGTTGCAATGTTACTGTTGAGAATATAGGGTCTCCAAATAACCATAGCAAATATTGAATATACAGGTGGGAGAACCAAATTTAGAGGAAGCATTCGCTGCATCCTAGATAGAGCAATTATGTAGGACTCACCAAGGATTTCTAAGACCAATCCGTCACAAACTGTTCCAGCGTTTCCTACGAGTAGACGAAACCAATGTGCAAGAACTTCAACACTAGGTTCCAGTTTGAAATTTCCAAAAGAGCGGGACATCCCATTTGAGCTGGATCTAGCACTTCTAATGAACTGAAGGACATCCAGACCCTCTTTCAGTTTAAAAACTGTTACCATTCTTTCTAAGTTAGCAGCCCCATGAACAATAACCCCGAGAATAAGTGCAGATATAGCAGCGGTAGCCTTTGCAACCCTTAAACCCACAACATTAGCGGAATTGTTCAATATCTCATTGGAATGGTTTGGACTAATATCATGGGCTTCAGAAGACTGTTGATATGGATTTCGATGAGACTTTACAGAAGATAATGATCCTGAAATAGCTGCAGAAGCTTCAGCAGCCAAAGCTACCTCAAATATACGACTGAAACGCTCTCCAAGTGCTTCTTTAAGCAAACAAAGTGATATTATATGTATGTATAAAATATAACGAACACAATTAAATGATGTAGAGGAGGAAGAAAGATTTTGGTAGTTGCAGTTCATAAAATCCGGTACTTTAACTACAGATGGGCCTACATTGCCAACAATCGATGAAACAGCAGAAGCCAATATGGATGGATCTCCTTCAAAAGTTGCACCACCATTCTGCCGAATGCAATCAATTAGTCCAGTAACAATCTCATGTGCCACTTGATAAGCATCATCCCACTTTTCAGTGAAGTTTTTAGAATTAGCATTAACTGTAGCAAAAGGCTTTCTCTCTTTTCCATAGAAGTAATGCATAGCTTCCTCAACATGCCTTTGCACTATGTCTTTCATGCTTGATCCAGTTCGAGAAACTCTCACAGTAATCTTTTGGCGGATATATTCATCGAAATCACTGATTCCTCCAGGAACTCCAGCAGAGAAACCTAAATCTCCATCAAGCATGCGACCAGTATCAAGTTCTGCAAGGAACCTCTGATCACAAGTAGATTTAAAATTTTTTTCCCATCTAATAACACTAGAGACATCTCTGTACTTCTTTAGCAAATTTCTACTGTACACAAAAGCAGCTGAACAGGAAGCCCTTCCACTGGGTGTCAGAGTGGCCATCGCTCTATGCATTGCTTCATTTAAGAGTTCAGGCAACATATCCGTTGCCACAATCACATTCTCATATCTGCAATCATTTATGCAAGTTTAGGGAAACAAAACTTCAGACATAAATTTGATAAAAACAACCTGCAATCTTATCCATCGTTTGTAAGAAAATTAAACCCAACCCTATCAATAAAAAAAAAAATCGAAATACAGTTCTTGCAACTCTGTAATCCACACATCAATAGATAACTATATAGGTTTTCAACGAGGAAATCAACATAAATGATAAAGATAAGAGACCCCCTCAATACAGAAAGCCAATTTACTATCCTGGAAGAACCTTCTTCAGATGTTTCCTTCCCTAGGTAGGGTTGCTAAAAGAGCTCCATTGGCCTTTTATTGAAGCAAGCATTATCTAAGCCAGCTCACTTATCCAAAATTTTTGCACGCACATCTCAGCATTGCAGCTAGCTAGCAATAAGTCAAAAGATTTTGTCATCCACACTATCCTAACAATTACATCAGCACAACCTTATTAGAAATGCATTAGAGCGCATGCATCAAGAGCAATGTGGTGCAACCGTGCAAGGCGATCATTTTTTGCTTTGAATGGGATCTGAAGTGTAAGAAGATATCGTAGTGCAGAACAAATTCATCGTGCAAATTGCAAAGCACCCGCCCATCAAAATGGGATTACCTGATTTTCTCCAATTCGATTTCATCCTTTAAGTAGTGTTTTATGATAAATACCCATTCTCGTCACCATGTGCCCATCCTATATGATTTTTTTCCCTTCATTTCTCTGAGTGGTGTTTGACTTCTTTGATCATCCCTACTTATCCCACTAGCAGTCGAGCAAGTGTTCATACTTCACCTGCTCACCCCATCAACATTTACCTGTAATCTATCATGATGTGTTGATGTGTCTATGGCTATTTATTTCATTTCGCATATTGTTTTTTCTCCTTCTCCTTTTACAGTGTTCTACCGCTTTGATCTTTCCCGTTCTTCCCACTAATGACCAAAGGTGCATTCTTCCTCCACCTTCAATAATTTGTTTCCGCACTTGCACAGATCCTCAAACTTTTCTGTGCTCTTTCCTATAGTATTGCAATTTCTCTTGCTCCATGGGCTTTCCCCTATGGATGGAGCTTCAACCTTTTCCAATGTGAAAATGCCCTCATTATTTTTTAGCATAAAAATTTCTTTATTTCTTCAGGAATTTAACAATGATGAACTCACGAATTTTTAAAGGTACACATCAGACCTCTTATGTCTCTCATTGTAGAAAATATACTTGCTTAGTATCTTGTATTGCACATTACTTTTAATATTTTATTGACATCTAAAGTCTTTTTTTTTTGTGTGCCATCAAGGTTTTCAAATATTTTTTAATACCTTGTAGTATTTTGTTATTGTTAAAAATTAGGGTATATTAGATAAGACCTTCAGTAAAGTGAAGAATATGCATTACGCATCAAAGCAATAAAATTGATTTGTGCTTCACATTATGCATACACATGCACAACAATACTTCTACTTTTACTTGTACACCAACATAGGTTTAGACATCGCATTAGATCGCACAAATAGGCTTATCATATTTCAAATTAATCTCCATTCTAAAAATGATAGGCCTATTAAATCAAATTCTCATCAAATGAAGTTGAAAAAAAATCAATATAACTTCTTGAAGTAGCAGAATCAATTAGAAAATTCAACTAGGTTAAGCTCTTTAATTTCAATAGAAAATATCTCCATTGCCAACTCATCTCTCTCATCATCCTCACCAACATCTCGTTAAATACAATATTGCTTTCCATAATCAAATTTTAACCTCGACAACAAGATCAGCAGAATCTATCCAAATCTTGCAATGTGGAAAAAGTCTATCCAGTGATACAACAATAAGCATCAAGGTTATAATGGAGGTGGCAAGGAGACAAAGGTTAAGAGGAACAACTTCTCCAAAGGAGGGTTTAATTGATGGGCCCATCGAAGTTCTCGATAGAGAGCACTGTAAGTGAAGCCATTATAAGGGTTGCAAAGTAAAGACCTACTACGCCAAACACATGTGATTGTGGTCGAGATGAATCTAAGAGCTGCACAAGCATCATTTGCCTCCCACATGCTCTCACTTCTCCCTCCTTACAGTCCATCTCTTCCCAAATATCCAAAATATTAAGGCATGCTCATCTTCGTTACAGTTGAACAGCAATTCCATGAAATAGTGTGCTTATTAGCTTTTATGGTCACTCCAGAGTTTGGCAACTATCTTTGATGAAATATCATTAGTATTATACTAGTTTGCAATGGTCACTCCATTTAAAATGGGATAAGTCTTGTACAGCTGCTGGTTGTATTCAATGAACAACATGAAAGTATATACAAAACTAAACTCGAGCCTCTACAACTTGACAATTAATAAAGAATGCATTAGACAAGATATAATTTCGTCATCAACCTTATACAGTCAAGCATGATCGAAATAATGTCATCCAAAAACTTGCAAACATGTTAAAAAAATTAATAATTAATAAGAGAGATGGAGATTCAACATCATCCACAGCACACAAAATAATAAAAGAATAAGCCATATAGGGGAACCAAATACCTTTGAAGGGCTGATAGTAAGAATGCCTCGCCAACTTGACAAACATGGTTTTCCCTACTTTTATTTAGCATCATAATATTTCTCCCGACATGACCGTTATTGTTTTGCCCACATAATGACTTTGTTAGGAGCCATATAAGCAGCCTCACAGCCAATATTAAGTCAGAAGAAATATCTAAAATAAACAAGATGGTAGACAACTCCTCCTCACCTAGTTTCCATCGTACAGCATTCCTATCTTCTAGTGCTGTGGAAAAGGAACCATTACCATTGCTTGGTTTGGAAACGGTCTTTTCACTTCCATCGACCAGTTGTCTGATTGATGTTGACAGCCATATAGAGATGGATCTTTTCTCAAGTAACCTAAGTTGTTTTATAGTCTTCCCAATGTCACTCAGATGAACAGTCTTCAACCTGACAGCATCTTTGGGAACTTTGCCATCAATAACAGATCTGTGGTGTGGGCAGCTCATCTTGTTATCACACACATGACTAGTTGAAGCACCCTGGCTACTCTCGATCCTAGCTGCCGCTAACTGTGCAAGGCTCTGCATTTTTCGGACTGTCTTTTGCCTGCCCCTTGAAATATGTTTAGTCAACTTATTAGCTGGTTCAACTTTCATGGATTCTACAGATTTGGGACCCTTTCTCACCCACCAAGTGTCTTCATCATCTGACTGATTTGAAGCAATGGCCTGATGGGAAGAACTCCTTTCATCCGTTACCTTTTGCCTCTTTGCTTCCCTACAATCTTCACAAGTAGGGATCCCTTCTGGAGAATCAAATCTGATACCAGATGATCCTAAAAGTCTCTTTAGACTGCCAGGAGATTCATCAACTTGTGTTTCAATTTGTGAAGAACAAGAATATGGAAACCGGAGTAAAGTTGAAATCAAAACCTTCAGCTCGGCAATTTGGTCCTTCACCTTAGAATTGATGGATGGCCTAGAATGCAATGCTATATTGGAGTTCCGACTGCTCTCCAATAACATAGTTGAGGAACCTTCCTTAGAAGCAAATGATAGATCCTTATGCTTCCGAAGATAAAAGGGTGCATAACTTTCATGCTTGTTAACCAGGCGACTAGAATGACCAAAAGATCCATGAAGAACCAGTTGACGCTCATTTGAGTAAACCTGAACAGCTGCATTCAGGAATGCAATCTCTATAACTTTTGACTCTTCTAGAACCTCAAATAAACAGGCACCAGGAAGCTGCTTCAAAATTCTATTATGCCTTTTTCTTCTTTCCAAATCAAATGAAGTTTCATTTCTGTCCATTATCCCACTGACTATTAGGTGCCTCACATATGCAGGAGGATAAAATATGCCATTCCTAATAAATTCTAAGATGAGAACTTGAAGATGCTTAAATCCTCCACCCTTTCCAATTTCATGTTGATCTAGCCAACAGACAATTATATCATGCAGTGGACCAGGACTTTGAAAAATATCCACACCGTTCTTGCCATGATCCATGTTTTTGTTATCAAGAAAAGAATTTTCAAAAGAAACCATACTAGGAAGATTTTCAGGAAGAGAGACGGCCTTCCCAGTTGAACCCAATAAATTGGCATTTCTAGACTGCGAGGAGACACAAACTTGTTCCATCTTATGCTTTAACAAGAAAACTGCAGCATATACTCTAGAAAAATCTTTTACACCAGTGAATTTATGATTCTCCAGAGTACTTGTTCGATAATTCCTATAACCACAAGTTGCCCACTCGCAAATGAAAAATACTGAACAAATAAAAGACAGATCAACACTCCCAATCCATTTTAGAGAAGACCGCAGAGATGGACTGACCTCCGCCATCCATTTTTCTTCAATAGGCGAATCAGAGAAATCCTCAAAGAGAGCACCATATGCTAATCTTGCATCACCCAAAATAAAAGCTTTATCTAACAGTTGTACAATTTTACCAGCACCCTGACCTTGAAAACCAGGGTTCGCAGTATTTGCAAGATTTGATGCACGTTTTTGGATTGACAACACAGCATATCCAAATGACATGCAACGAAGATGAGCATCTCGTTTACCAGTTTGAAGGCAATCTATATCTTTAGTTACCTTTAAAGCTCTATGTGCTGAATATATATCAGGAACCACACATGCCGGCAAAGGAAAGCAATCCAATGCAACGAAACTATCAGGTACAGCAAGTATAAGGTACCGAAGTATCTCAACAAAAGCAGAGGAAATGGATGACTTTCTTGTAGATTCTACCAAATTAGAACCACCCAGAGAAAGGTCATTTATTGATCGAAGAGCTATATCCACTAATCCGCGTGTATAAGTTTGTGACAGGGCAATAATATCGATGATCTCATAAACAATTGGCAACAACAACTCATAGGCATCAGCCGAATCCTTTTCCTGCTAGCATTGAATTAACAATAATTAGGGCCAGGAGATTTCAAGGCATTATTACCAAGCCAGGAAGAAAAACATCACCTGAAGTTGATTAAGTACCCACTCGACCACAACTGATGAAAGTATAAGCCCTTCTGAGTAGTTCCAATGCAGAAGATGTACCATATACCACCACTTAGATGAAAAAGAAGGCTCCTCAACGTCAGATGCCGCACCACCAGAGTCAACCTTTTGTGCTGAACCAGATAATAGACTTGGAGATGATTGATCCCTGCTAGAAGCAGGAGCAACAGATCCTTCCTTGGAGAGATATTCATCCAAGAGTTGCTGCAAATACTCAACAACATCCTTTGTCCACAATTCAGTACGACTTAAGTGAGCTTTATCTTGTGCACCAGATGAAATGCTTGTAGAGGCTGGCCGAATCTATATTCAATATAAATATATAGAGAGAGAAATATATATTATATAAACATTAAATAAGAAATTATTGATCCTAAAGCATATAACAACTGAAATCTAACCTAAACCAGAGAAAACACAGTTTCACAAAAAGCTACATACCTGGTTTAGATAAGTCACTTTAATAAACCATGTTGCTCTTAGCAATGGGACATTATGACGAATAAGAACATCAAAAAGGGACTTTCTTCTGTACCCATGTGGAACATGATCAGCTAAAGACCTCAGCCGTTTAGTATGCAATGATAGGGCCTGTGAAGGAAAAGGCGATCAACCAACACAGACAAGCCATTATCAGCATATATCTTCAAGTCTTAAGAGAAGCTCTATGTTTGAAAGAATTTCGATATGTGAATAAGTGAATTAGGTCTAAGGAGAAAAACTACATCATGCCATAAGAAAAAATTGAAAGGATAAAAATGTGCTAAATGGGATCTTATTCATGGCCATAATTAGCAGGACTACTAAAATTACCATCAAAACGTCCATGAATAAATATATTTCATATGAAAATTATGAAAATACAGAAAATCCTGTCAGTTATACTCCAGAGAACATCCAAACAGGGAAAGATGTCTTTCACTTCAAATACTCTATGTACTAACTAAACATCGGAGAGTAAAAGTAAGGTCATCTATGATAAAAGGACCACAATGGTCCCCTAACTCTTTATAAAAGATTAAAATAGTCCCCAGCTATATTAAAAAACTATTTTGATCCCCCAACTCTTTAAAGATGAACCAAAATAGTCTCACCATGGGACTATTTTGATTCATTTTTAAAGACTTAAGTGACCAAAATGATCCTTAAATACAATTGGTGACCATTTGGGTCCTTCACAAGAGTCAAGAGGCTATTTTGTTCCTTTTCTAATCATCTATTTTAACAAATTTCTTTCAGAGTAATAGCAACTACTAATTTCTCTTATTCATAAAAAATGAAACCACAAATACCAAGGAATTACATCTATACACAAAAAGCAGCACACAATTATAAATAAACATGATAAAAAGATAGATGGAAATTACATAGATTTAGTTTGTAATTAATTTATTGTAAGTTCTTCCGAGATAAGTTCATATGTGATAGGGTAAAGCATATTGGATTCATTTTGCAAAAGAATAAAGATATGAAATAGGGTAATGGTATAACTTCTAAAATCAAGACTAAATAGAAATAAAAAATTAAATTAGGAGTACTAGCTACAAGAAAATATTACAAAGACTTAAATTTATAGAATTGCAATTTGAATGCATAATATAAGGGTAGGAATGAGCGGTCACTAATAGTCAAGTTAAATGTGATAATGCTAAGACTGATGTGTGATAAAATTAAGAATAATAAATAGAGAAGTGATACTAATAGAAAATTATTTGCAATTATATTATGAGCCTATATCTAATGCTATTACATATGAATCTGCATCTACAATAGATCATATTCATTACATGAATCCGTAATTGATCTAGACTGATAATTGGAGTCATATTTGAACATTAACTTCTAATAGAGATTGAAACAATACCCGCATATGAAATTGAACAAATCATTATTTAATATACTTGATGATTCAAATGAGCAACTCAATCACGCAACTTTTGGCAATTTCTTTATTTATAATATTCTTACAATTGATGATCATACTGATGTTGACTTTATTTTCTATTTTTAGTGTTTCATTATAACAGCTCATCAAAGGAGCATCATCGAGAGAGTTAGATTGAGTTAATATTTTAAGGAATTTATTAATAAAGAATGCCATAAAACAATACTGAAATTTAAATCTCCTTCTATCTAGCCAATTATAATAGGGCATAATTCATCACAACTAACATTTAAAACATTTGGTTTAATTTATTTTAGGAGGATCGTATTATATTTATGCAGTTTATTTATTTTCCACTTTTTTACCATTTCACCTTCTTGAAATAAGCTAGGTCATAGAAGCATCCTTTAGGATGTCTATTAGCCTTTTAGCATTTTCATTACTGGGTCCATTTTATTTGCATAGTTTGCCTTACTTCTGTGAGGATATTCATAAAATAGGAATTATTAATTATGACAATTATAATTTTTTAATGGCGTAAATAGGAAATGTGGAGTTTAAATCGAGTGATAAAATAATCATGTAATTGAATTAGAAAGCCTTCCTTTGGGAAACTTTGAAATGCAGCTTGAAAATTTGGTAATATCATGGAACTAACACTTATAGATTAGAAATATAAAAAAAAAAATGACATTAATAAAGCTGTCAATTTCATTGATTTGGCCATGTTTCACAAACCTATTATCAATTTCTTCGATTTTTGCATCTTTCTACATCCTCCTTGTGAATTTGCAATTTTGCATCCAACACTCATCAAGACAAACCTTACATCTTATTCTTGAAGCTACCTACTCTAGATGACAGAATGGTGTCAATTTCAAGATATCATGTGTACTAGCATAACAAACATGTTTGCAATAATTCATGGAACATATTGCAAGAAGAATACAATTTCAATCCAAATTCCCTAGATTAATACCAAATATTAAATTTGTCAAAGCCAAATTTGTTCAAGCTAGGTAGACTTGATGGATATCTACATTTTATAAGTGGGTAAAAAGTCAATCAAAAACTAATCGAAGTAAATTTATCATTAGCAGGTTTAATTTATCTGATAATTTTTAATTTTAGATATTTTTGGATATATTTGTGATGATGTGGTTAGGTGAATATGATATCATGTTGTGATTTTCTATTAGATAGCAATTTTTTTTAGTAGTAACGTGATAATTGATATGCTGAGTATTTCGTATTTCAAGGAGCTACTTCCAAGAAATGATGTTAATCTCCACTATGAATAATTTTTGTTTTATGAATAAGTTTATCCAATATTCCCCATAGCAATGTATGAGAAGCAAATTTGGAATTATTCAATTTCTGCAACAGACGTGATACCTAGGTGATTCCGCATATTGAGCCCATAATGGATCATTGTGCTACAAAATGTAAATTTCAAGCAGCCCCCAAAAAAACTATTTTTAAGATTGTTCCAACTGCTAAAAACCACAAGTGCTCGTTGAGATGTACCGTGATCAGTGACATTAGAGAATTGAGATGATTATATATATTTATTATAAGGTATTTATTGCGAATTAAATTTTACTTCATAAAATTTGAAATTTCATTTTTTGATCTTGTGTATGTGGGATAGGGGATTCCTTCCAAGTGGGGTAAAAGTACAACTACCTAAAAATACGGGAAGCCATCTCCTTGTATTATCATGAGGATCTTTTACACTTTGATGAACACCCTACTTTTACATATTTTCTTCTATATTATTTTGAGATTAGCAATGCAAGAGTTTTGATTTGGTCAAATTGACTAAAATTGAGATCTCAATTGGTAGCATAAAAATCTAATAGCTTTCTAATTTTGTGGTTCATATTTAGCATTGATTTCTACGAATTTAATCAACATTTCATTTTTTTTGTTCAATTTCATCCCTTTATAAGTTTATATATAAAGAGATGAACATTTAGTGGCCTGGAATCCATGAATCTCTATTCCTTTCCGTGTTATATGTTTATTGCATCATCCTAGTTCCATGGGGAATCTTCAAACCCTAAGTGAAATGCATAACATATTGAAATATTGACCAGTAACAACAAAAAGCATAAAATGATGCTAAAAAATACAAAAAAGAATATCAATCCGAATATTTTAGAAAAAAGAAGACCAGGAAAAAAAAGTAAAGCAATAGCTTCCAAACCACATCTAATAAATCAAGTTCATTGAAACCATGAATAAAAGCAATATAAAGAGGATTAGACCACAATAGCACACCTCTATCCATTTCTTGCGGAAGTCTTCACTTGAGGGCTTTTGCTCAGGAAAAGATCCTGATTTTATCAATAGATGGCCAGTGAGCGGCACTCCATAAACTTGACCAGCCTATTGCAGTCAGAAATAGAAATGTTAAACTCCGGAATAAAAAATTAATAGTTTTCTAACGCTATGAAAAAAAGAAAAACTATAAATTAAATGATATAATACTTTAAAGTTAAAAAAGCAAGCAAAAATATAGAATGTTTAATGAAATGGCATACCTTCCTCTTTTGTGCACGAGATTCATTAATAGCCCTAAGGCGCCTTCGTATTGCCTTTAAGAACAGAAACACACAGAAGTTAACCAAGAATATAAATTTCATCTTAAAACACCTTTAAGCAGATTATCTGAGGTCAAATAAAAGAAAATTTGCAATTGAAAAGGGTGGTTAGCAAACTCTCCAGAAAACATGCAAATGTAGTTTGAAGGTTGCAGGTTAATTAAAACTTTATCATTATTAGGCTAAATTAGGCTGTATCACAAACAAACAACTTTCCTCAGGGCACTTGAGCATCAAGTAATATAACTTGGATTTGAAAGTGTGAATAATAAAAGCAAGAGATTTCATGCTGTAATAAACTAAATCAGTATTAACCAATGATATCTTTCACAAGTCAAAGAAACAAAGAAGAAATAAGACGGGTAGAGGGTTTGTGTAGAAGGGATGCAACAAAGGAACCATTAAAAGAAAAACAATAAAAATTTTACCTCTTTACATTTCAAGATGATTTCTGGTTTTGTGAAATAACTAGCCTGAGTGAGTACAATCTCTCTAGCTTCCTGGAAGGCCAATTAGACAAGTTAGGCGAACAATAACCTATAAACTGTTCATCCAACCATATCATGATTTCGTAGGTAACTAAGATGACCACATAACTATATGAATCATTGAAAAAAGATAATTTGAGCTAACAGTAGAAGAATTAATAAAGAACAGCAGATACATGTTTTGCCTGAGATTTTTGTAATAATTTGTTAGCAGTTCTTATAGCCAAATGCATGATTTCAAACTCCTAAGTGGCTAGCACAAAGATCCTTCTAGAGATACAATAACATGGCCAGAAGCTATTAATTGCATCCCAATTTGTAATTCCTAAAGGTCAAAAGTCTGTCAATGAAAATGGTTTTTGAATGTTGAAAGTGCTTGCACATCTTTGTACTCCCAAAACACTTCATAAAAACAAGAGGAACAAGGACATGAACGATATATTTCCACACTGACGTAATTTGTAGGGAGCGAAATAAATTTTCTCTATATATCTCAGAGGTATGCAAAATAGATAAGTATGTCAAGTGTTGCTTCTATTACACAAAAAATGAGACATAATAGCAAAAAAAATCCAAATTTTGATGTTTATAGAAAGTAAATTGTATGTTTTAAAACGACTGGCAGATACAAAATAATCATCCAAAGATTATGAGCAGAAGATAAAGATGTAAAATCAAAATATATTAAACAAGGCGAGTCAAAACATAAGGGCTTCAAAAGAAACTAAAAGGTTCAAATGCATTATTAACTTATCTACGTCCATACCACGCAAAACAAGTCATAATTTGCAAATGAAATATCAACTAGATAGCTTTTTAAGCAGACAAACAGAGCCTTACTTTGTAATGTGTTGCGTTAGCGTTGCTTGTCAAAAACCTTCCACAGAAAAATGCTGATCTAATAAAACTCAACCAAAAGCCCTCTAGCACATCCACACCTTCCATAATAATATACAACAATGGGGACTAACATTGTTGGCAGATTGAAAGGCTTTATGGTAAACATGATTGTAGTGTAGCGTGTCCATTTCTATGAGAGAAATGAATTTATTTCGTACAGCATAGCATAGAATTAACAAAAAAAATCCATGCCAGATGGTAGTACAGAGTTAAGAATGAAACTGCTCTAACACACACAGCTTAAAAATTAAAATTTTAGAGGTAAGTTTATTCAAGCATTTTATTTACTTGTATCATCATGTCTTCATAAACTAAACAAAAACATTAAAAGTTGAAAGTAAAATTAAGATGGATAAAATAGGAAATTATATGAGAGTTAAAATAAGAAACCATGTAGATAATTTGATATTTTTGTTTATATAAATGTATAGATTTTCAAATTTAAAATGAAGGATGACTTCATTAGAAGCTTCATAAACAATATGTTTTAAGGGTATTAAACAAATTGGAGAAAAAGTTTTTTTTTTAACTATATAAATTAAATTATTAAAGTAATTAGATGATAAAATTTCCAAATAGTCACCATGATATTAAAGTAATTAGATGATAAAATTTCCAAATGATCACCATGATATTAAGAAAATCCTCATTTGAATTCCTTAAAAATCATATTTTAGAGGTTTATTTGATTTCTATCTAATCTACTGGGATACCAAGGCACGGATAGAAATTTCTACAAGAATTCCATCTAAAACAAAACAAGCTACCATCACCTGAGCTAGGTCCTATGAAATCATAAGTGAAGCTAGACTATTAATAAAATATGAAACCATAAGTTTACCACCTAAATAATTATAATAAAGTTTTGTCGTGATAATGTATCAAAGGAGATTCAATCTGCAATGGCTGCAATAATAGTGTGAATCACAGATTGGTGGTAATAATGACATATAATGTAGATACAAAGCCACATCAATCAATCAATGTTATTGTTAAAAGAGTAGAAGTTGTAGTGTCGGGCACTCAACTGACAATAAAATTAGGATGGTGATAATGGAGAAGCAATAATATCAAAACCTAAGAGAGGTAATTATTGTACACCTAAAGGCAATGACGATGAGAAGCCACAAAGTGGAGGCAACGATGAAACTCAGGGAAACAATTGTGGCAAGCTCATGCGTGGAGACAACAACAAACCCAAAGTTAGCAGTTAGATTGAATTTAAAGTAGAAGATTGCAAAAGGTCATAAGAAGAAGAAAAAGTCGAGCTCAAAGGTGATCATGGCTGCAAGCCCAAAAGTAGCAACTATAGTTGACCTAGGTGGAATAATTGCGATTGATTCGAAGGTGGTATGCTCAAAAGAAGTGATAGTGATAGAAGGACATCCCAATGTGAACCTTGGTGTAATGGTTCCAATGGACCAGACAGTGGCAATAATGATAAGCATAAAGAAAGAGGAATTTACAATGAACCTTAGTGCCATGATTGCAATAGGACCAAAGTTAATGATAACGATAGGCTCAAAAGTGGCAGGAACAAAAACCTGAAGTCAGGTAGCAGTTGGCCTAAGGTTGGCGATTGTAATAGTCCTGAAGGCAATAATATTGATAGGGAAAACAGTGATGCTGGCTAGGGCTGCAAATGAACCGAGCATTCGACGTGCTACTCGTGGCTCAGCTTGATAAGGGCTCGTTCATGTTCGCTTGATAAAATAAACAAACGAGTTTGAACACTCTTGATAAATACTCGATAGCTAAATGAACGAGCTTGAACAACGTGTCGTTCAGTTCATTTATGTTTATGAATAGTCTCGCTTAGAAGCTCGTGAACAAGCTCGATTAGAGCTCGACTAAGAAGCTCGATTAGAGCTTCATTAGAATTTTAAAAATATATACTATTAAATATACTCATTTAATAATTTATATTTACTAATTTAATTTTTTAAACTTTAATTGTTTTCATTAGACATATTTTTAACTTATATTTTTACTAATCTAACTAATTAGAAATATTTTTATTAAATCATCTACTAAAAATTTTATTAAATATAAAAATTTTATTAAACACCCGCCTAAGTCTCAATTCTCGCTCATAACCAAAAAAAGAAAATTTTGTTTTTAAATTCCCGTCGGACCCGCCCGCCCTTTCTCTCTCCTCCGTGGCATCAACAAACTAAAAAAAAAAAAAGGAAAATGATGTCAGCGTTTAGTCCCACACCGGCTATAATGAAATACTTTTGCTTTATAAAAACAAAGACATCTGAAGGCAAAGTGCATAAATGCGGGAAGCTGGTGGGTTGGGAGGATTTAAATTGTCAGGACGTTGTGCTGCTCAGTTTGATGTTAATTATTAAAAAAATATTTTGTAGTTTGTGTTCCGCTCGTTTCTCGTTATAAACGAGCCGCTCGATAAGATGCTCGTCGAGCATGAAATTAAACGAGCTCAAATTTGAACATGAGCCGAGTTCGAACATAGTCATTTTAAACGAGTTCGAACACCTGTCCAAAAAGCTCGATGAGCTTCAACCCGAGCTTGAACATGGTTTTGACAAACGAGCTTGAACTCGAACAGGCTAAAGCTCGGCTCGGATCGGCTCGGCTCATTTGCAGCCCTAATGCTAGCATTGTACAAGCAGTGAAGACAATGATGATAAGCTCTTAACATGCATACAACCAATGATGACAAAAGATGCTGAAATCATTGGCTAAGTTTTCATTATAGCCTTGTAAGTGCTTCATGAATATAGATTCTTCTCCAAAGCTTGGCAATTGTAAGTACACTATGAATTAAATTGAAGGTCTATTTATACACTTGTCTAGGGTTGACTCAAGTATACCTGATCTTTCATTTGCTGCTTATCTAAAATAGATAGGGGAGACTTTCAACATACATGATTAAAATATATGCCAATTTATTATCAAACAAAGCGATGAATTCACCCCCATAGCCAATCAAACATCATCAAGTATACAAGATTTTTCATTTGATGCTTATCAAAAATAAGATAGTGAAGATTTTTACCATGCACCATTAAGATCCATGCCAAATTATTATCGAGCAAAGGCTGTGCAATTGGCCCATAACCAATCAAACTTCATCAAGCAACTAGCAACAATTTGCGGTGGATGATAAGGTGAATGGAATTGACTAGCTGTCATTCTACCTAAGGTCACTACAGAAAATCTTGTGATGCATGAGGTAGCATTGCCATCGCAATCCTAATGAGGATTTAAAATTTTCTGCGAAGTGAAAATTTCTATGAAGTCTAGCATTGAAAACTAACAAAAACAAGTACCAATGTTTGTGAAGAGTATAAGGAAATTGTTCCTTGTCTCTAAAGAAATGTTTTGATCATATAACTCACAACAAGGTGGAGTATGAAATTAACAATCAATTGAAGAAAATTCAAAGTTTCAAGCATTATCTAAATGCACTGTGATATGATCCTCACCAAACTTTGGGGACTAGCGGCAAAAAGGTGATTGGCTGCATTGCTTTGTCATTGTTGCCCAAGACCTTCCTCACGTTAGCAGGAAGATGACTAAACTAACTAGTCAAAGATTGGTTCACTTGTTTAGAGAATATTTGGACCCATTTCAACTTATTTTATGCATTCATAAATCTAATTGGCCCACAAAGTACTTATGAAGGTCAACAAACTAATCCAATCACATTAAGCATTGTTGCAATCCAATAGATATTTGGAGATGACACCAAATTGAGCAAAGGCAAAAATGAAAGGTAGTGTGCTTTGCTAGCAAAGAAAAGCAACAGAATCATAAAGACATTAATCATAGACAGAAAGTTTACAATATTAAATTGATGTCCATTACATATTCAGTTAGCCATGCACAACCACTTATTTTAACTAGTCAAACGTTTAGAAGCTCTTTGACTTTCATTAACTCTTCATTTTCTGTATAAGCATAAAATGGTTCAAGATCGCTTTTTAAGACAGAAGCAAAAGCTTCAATAGGAAAGTATGATATGAGGTCATCAAGAAGGCAGTTCTCATTCAGTCTTGAAGGAAAAAAAATCACCATATCTATAGTACAACCTACTAATGAGAGGCCCAAGAAATACTCTCTATATCTACATAAATTACAACTAATTAAAAAAAGATCAGATTTTTTTATACTTTACACAGTGCAACAATTATAACATTCAAAATAAAACAAACCAAATAGTAGTTTCCTCCAATCCTATCACTAGCGCATACGTTTATCAGAGTCATACAGATATAATTTAACTAAATAGAAACCACCCGAAAGCAATGGAACTAGGTTACAAAGCAGGATTTACATCCATCACAACAAGCAAAGTAACAAGCGTTAAAAACATAATTTTTCTCTCTAAAGTCAGTTATTGAATGAAATATTTTAATCTACTCAACCTATATTCTAAGCCTTTCCAATCTTCCACTCCAACAGAATAAAGCACATCAATCTGTTGCTAAATAACTCCCACACCAGAAGCTCTAGTTATGCCAACAGATTTACAAGAGCAAATGTAGTTTCTTGAAGATTATCATATAAATTGCGCAAAAAAAATTTATTTCTATGCTTCAGTCCTTGAATGAAATATGTTTAATCCTCCAACGCTCATACAGCTATACAACCTATTAGCCTTTTCAATCCTCCATTATAACAAAATAAGCACATCAATCTGGTGCTAAACAGGACTTAAAAGAACTTCCAAAATTACAAGCTGCAGTTATGCAAAAAGAATGTTACAAGAGTAGATAATGTTTCCTGAACGCTAACTGATAAATTGCACAAAAATAAGAAAATAAAAATTTTACCAGAAAGAAAGAATGCAGAATGTGTAACGCTTATCAAATTACAACTATGAAGAAAGAAAATCATAGAATGGCATAGAACATACCTCAATTCCATCAACCGTCTCCTTATAGCCAGATTGCAGGTATTCTTTTGTTAGTGTCTCTTCTGGGCAGTTAGGAGTCTGGGGATATAGATCAGGTGGCCCAAGTCTAAATAAAAAAAACATAGAACTTACAGAGGGATGCAGGTGAAGCATAATCATATAAAGATAAATAAAAATAAACACACACACACATATGTATGTATACATACATATATATGTATGTGTATATACATACATATATATGTATGTGTATATACATACATATATATGTATATGTATATACACATATATATAAGAATACAAAGAGAAAACTTCAGTTAATATGAAAACATGAGACACAAGAGAACAAGGGAATTATAAATGATTTTATTATGAAATAGCTCCACCACATTAAACATAAGACGGCTAGAAGTTCAATCCATTTCTTTGCCCAATTTTCTTAAATTTGGTCAATCAGTTATGATCACACAAGAAGTAGAGCACCTTGACAGAAGTTAATGACACAAATAACCCTATTAATTCATATTGGCAAATTTAATTTTACCCCCACTATTTTAAGACTTGATGCAACTAACGCCCACTTGATTTCCATCGTACACCCATCCCTTCCTCTTTACACCAATTCATCATCAACTTGTCAGGGGACCAGCATCTCTTTCAAATTTTAGCAGGCAGCAAATCAACCAAGATGCTCTAAATTTAAAGGAACGAATGGAGAGCTGCCATTCACCCTCTTTATCCACACCATAATCCATTTTTTAGCAGATTGAGGGGGGATGTAAGACAGATGGACGGACAGACTACAGAAGCAAGTAAGACTTGGTTGGGGAGTGATGAGGACATCGTCAGCGATTTCGACACATGTACCATCGGAGACGCCGGAGATCGATGGCCACCATCAGGAGTTTATATTTTGAGTCATTTTATGTAGTAGTTTATTTTATTTTTTTTAGTTTTTACTGTTTTACCCTTATGGGTGGTCATTTGATATTGTAGCCCCGAGGACATTTATGTCTTTTAGTTTTTGTTTCATTTTGGCCTATTTATAGGAGGCCTCATGCATTGTACTGAAGGATGAATATTGATATGAAATTTCAACTTTGGTTTTGGATCTCTTTGTGAGGTCTAGAGTTCTCTTTGTGAGTTCTCGAGTGAGGATTAGCCTAGGAGAGGCTCAAAGCAATACCCAACAGCCCCTTGGTGGAGCTCTTGGTTTTCTATCTAATTTCTTCTTTTTTCCTCTCCCCTAGCCGCTAGATCTTTCCCCACCACCCCACCACTTGGCCGGTCAGCCACCCGACCCCTTCCCCTTGCCGTTAACCCCTAGATTCCACCCTCTCCAACTCCCGTTCGGCCGCCCCGCCCCACCACCGGCCGACCGAGCCCTTTCCCACAGCCGCCGATCAACCCGAGGAATTCCCCACCCGCCGGCCATCCAAATCAGCCCTTGGATTTTTGAATTTTCTAAATCAATTCAACTTTATTACTTTCCTAATTTATTCCCTTGTCATTTAGGAAGTTTCAAATTTGAAATTCAAATTGAAATTTGAATTTTAAATCCCTCCTTAAATGACGAAATCCAATTAGGAAACTCTTCATAGCTCATCAAATCTGAATTTAATTTAGAATTTGATTCAATTGATGTATTTAATCACATGGGCCCCACTCTCATTTAATTTAAATACAAAATTAAACCCCTTGGGGCTGGCCCCCTCTATTCCCCTCTCTCTCCTCACTTTGCCACCTAAGCGACATTAATTCTCCCTTAAATCTCTCCCATAACCGCCACCCCATTAACCCATTATTTGGGTTAATTTGAATTTCAAATTAGCCTCTTCCATTAATGAAAATCTGAAATTAAAGTTCATATTTTTCCCTCTCTTCTCCTTGTCCCCAAATCACTTGTTTCAACCCAAATAACTCCACCAATAGCCGCCCCCTTCACCCTCCCAGGACTTCTCCCATTATCTCTTCACCTCCTCACCAAGCTCAAGAGAGATTCTCCCAACCACCACCACCATCATGCATGGCCGATCCGGAAGTCGGCCACGGTTTCTTATTTGATGATCAAGGATTAACCAACATTCTTGAATCTCCTTCTCTTTGATGTGAACCTAGACGCGGATTCCTCCGTGGAGGATAACTTACATCGCATCCAGTTTACGCTAATACCTTCCATCGATGAGCATATTCCTCCTGGACGTTGGATACTCACTAGTCATCCCGTGGACTCCCCGCCGCCGGCTACTTCTCCAACGGACTATACCTTGGGCACCATTCGTCTCCTAGTGGCATTGCTCAGTTTGCTCTCAATCTTCCTCCGTTAAAGCCCCACCATCAAGAGCGTGAGTGAGGGAGCCAAGGTGAAAAGTTCTACTTGTTAACAGTGGATTATTGTTTCTTCGCCATAACATTACACTCTATTTTTATGTTATTAAATTGATAGCATCCCATTAATCTAGTTGTAACCGCATGCCTTACATAATTTCTACTTGATAATTCTGAAAGCCTAACTTGGGTAAGCACTAATTCTATAACTAGTAAAGTTTTAATATTCTTATATTAAAATCCCCAAGCAGTTCTTGTTTTCATGCATATGTTTTACATTAGGGAGATATCTGGAGAGAAATTATTGTGTGGCTTGCGTAGGTTTAAAGGAAGAGAAAAGGAGAAAGAATAAGGTTCTCAAAGGTAGAGTAGCCATTTAAAAAAAAAAATAGTTTTATCCATTGCACAAACTTTAATGTCCTATTGACCAAAAAATATCAAAAAATAGCAACAAGAAAGAAAATGGGATGAACCCAGTGCGTGTAACTTCCAATAATTCTAGATTTGTGAGTGCTATGTGGAGGGGGAGAAACTATCAAAATGAACATTGTTAAAAAATCGGGTTACCAAGGTACATGGTTAATCTAAACTACAATCAAGTTGTAAATCGAAGCATATTACATTATAAACAAGCTGAAAAATCCTTAAATGAGACTCTGCTTCACAATACAAATCATAATTAATTGGTAATTCTCAGTAAGGGTTACCTGAAATTAAGAGGTTCCCTATCAACCTTTAGTTTGTATGGATGCAAAGGCAGCGGTCGCCTACAAAAGAAGACTCCAGGAAGTAAGAATGAGCAATCAAGAGGGAAGTGTCTTTTGAAACAGAAAAGAAACGTAACAGCTTTAAATTAAAATAAAATTCAACAAGTAATCATCAGGAAACCTGAAAAAAATACTATCCAATTTTAGACATTAACTTAACATCATGGCATCTAAAATACACAAGAAGCTTAAATCCTTCACTCACTTGCTCTTTTTCCTAGAGATCTTCTTATCATCTGTTTCTTTCCTACATCAGTTGCGCATAATAAAGGTATTCATCAGCATCATTCAAGTGCTAATTATGTGAGGCTTAAACCCTATAATATGTAACAGCACAAATGAAAGAACAAGCCTCAGCATTGAAAATTTTAAATAATGGAACAGATTGAATGACATGTGAAATCCATGAATTAATATGCCTGCACGTATTTGGCTTTCACCGTATGAATGATATGTGAAATCCTTCAAATCAATTCGGACTAGCAACAAAACAAAATGAGTTCAATGTAAAAAATCAACAATAGTTCCCTGAGGCAGCATGTGTCATCTTAAAAAAACATGCAGACAGTCATCCATTGCAAGAACCAATAGCCTTAAAGTTGATTCCCAACAACAAATGTAGCTATTATCCTCAACAGTACTGTGGCATAGGTGCTTTAGCAAGAATATTCCATGAAATTTTTTTACAATCACTGAATTCTACTTAAAAATAAACATGAATTACACTTTGCCCTAATTTCATAAGAGAGTGATACCTAGGATAAACTACGGGAAAAAAAAAAAAGATAAACTACGAAAATTGCCAAAATGTATGACAAGTTGTCCTCACTGTAGCATAGATACCTGATAGCATACTCCTAGCATTGTGGGCTTGAACAAAGAAAAGAATTAATTGTAGACTTTTAATAAAGAATTATTCAAATTTATTGTTTCCAATAACATTATAGAAAATACAAAAAAAATTCAATAGAACGCTGGAACATATTCATAATTGACTCATGGAGGAGTACGGTTCGGATATTTACAACTGTATGAATGACAACAATAGCCCCAACACGTTAAATATACGATGCAACATGCGTATCTGAGGATTTTTCATGTCTGATGCAGAGTGAAAGACTTAATTGTAAATGATTCAAGAGCAAAGCCGAACCATGAAAATGAAAGAGGTAAGATACATCATAACCCACACCTAGTAGTAAATAAGTTGCAGAAGCCTCAACTTTGCAATTCAACCAAAAACATGGATCTTAAAGCTTTAAAAACGAACCATTGACAAATGTTAATTTTCTTTCACATAATATAATTTTTTGTAACACTGTCGTTGCCAGGTCCCAAGCCTTCGATGAGAAAAATGGAGGGTTGCGTTAGGTAATCGGTAGCCAATATAAAACTTGTCGAATAATCATGGCATGAATTATTTAATACATTGTGTTAACGCTATGGTGTTCTCTAGAAGCGACGCAATGTATGACCAGAAAAGTGTATAAGAGTCAATGCACTGCTCAAGAGTGCAATATTAAATAAGCAAGAGTTCTTATATCATGTACAAATGTGGGCATCCAAGAAATTAGGATTATGATAGGAACTTGAAATATAGATTCTCTTACAGGAAAATTAATGTAATTAATCGATATTCTGATTCATAGAAAGATAAATATTTTTTGCATCCAAGAAAATAAATGCATTAGAAATAAGGCTAAAAAGATTGATAGTTTATGATTTAAACTCTGGTATTCAAGTAGGAGACATACTAGAAATGATGTATGTGTGATTATAAAGTTTGAAGGATAATGTTGTAGAAATTAATAGAATTGAAAATAGAATTATCGCTTTAAAGATTACAGTTGATGCTAAGATTATTAACATTATAAGTATGCTCATCAAGTAGGTTTAAATAAGTGCTTAAACTTAAAATTTTAGAAAAACTTAAAAGAATTAATATAAAGGATACCTCTTGAACAAAAAAAAATTATTAGAAGAAATTTAAATAGACATGTTGGTAGAATTGTGAAAAATTCTAAAAGTATTCACGGTGACTATGAGTTTACAGCAACTAATGAAATTGGTAGAACCATATTAGATTTTGCTATTATTTATAATTTTATAATTGTTAATACCTTAATTAAGAAAAGAGGGGCATCTCATCACTTATAAAAATGGATATACTAAAACTCAGATTGAATATATTTTCAAAAAAAAAGATCATTTAGATTACAAAGAGTATAACATTATCTCGAGTGAAAATTTATGTACTCAGCATCGCTTATTAATTTTGGAATTTAAGATAAAAGGGCGAAATACAAAAAATAAAGAAAAATATTCTCCTAAGATTAGATGAGGGCATTTAAAGAATACTAAAAAAATATTTTTTAAATTAAGTTTCAAAATCTTAAGATTTTCATTGTGCATAATGATGATAATGTCACGTAAAAAAAAAAAAAGCTAGTGATATTAAGAATGTTGCAAAGGATATGCTTGGGGCATACATTTCAATGGCACAAAATAGCACACATCATGGTGAACTGGGTCTCGCAAATGTTCAAAATGAAAAACTCTATTTGCATTGTTTGTGCCATGGACACATAAAATATTGACCTTCCAACGACCAGATTAGGAAAGTAGATGTATTGAATTTTTTCTATGTTAAAAATGATAGAGGTAGACCTAAAAAGATTTGACTATAAAATATTAGAAATAATATTTTTATTAAATTTAAATAAGAATTTGACTTTTAACAGGACACAATGGAAAAAAAATAATTCATATAACCGACTCCATGTAGTGGGATAAAGGCTTGATGTTATTGTTGTTGCTGATGTTATCATATAATTTTTTGTCAAAAGATAAATAAGAGAACTATATTTTAGAGAAAAACCAACAAGGACAGCAATTCACGCACAAAATGACAAGGTTTTTAATGAATATGCATCCATGAAAGGCTTTAGCTTGCAAAGCCACCTAAAGCAATTGCACCGTTCTAAGCAAATATCTCATTGCAAGCTCAAAGAAATTTCAGGAAATGCAAATGCATGCACAACAAAGGAAAGCAAGATTTTATGTGAAAATCCCTTCAAAAAAATATTAGAAATAACTTTTTTTATTAAATTTAAATGAGAATTTGACTCTTAACAAGACACAATGGAGAAAAAAGATTCATGTAGCCGACTACACTTAGTGGGATAAAGGTATGATGTTATCGTAGTTGTTATAATAGAAAATTCTGTCAACAGATAAATAACAGGCCTATATTTCAGAGAAGAAGCAATGAGGACAGTAGTTCACGCACAAAATAACAAGGTTCTTATACAATATGCATGCACAAAGGGCTTTAACTTGCAAAGCCACCTAAAGTAAATGCGCCATTCTAAGCAAATATCTCAAACTTCACCACCAGTTCCATTATAACTACATTGCAAACTCAAAGAAATTTCAGGAAATGCAAATGCAGGCACAGCAAAAGAAAGCAAGATTTTATGTGAAAATCCCCTAGAAGAAATAAAACTATGCACAATCCAATTGCAAAGGTCCATAATTTGCATGACTCCGTACAAGGATAGTCCAGATTCAAATAAGTGATTTAAGTACAAAATAATTGCTTCTGCAATCAGAGTAAAGAAAAGCGATATCAAGGGCACATAGATTAATCTTCATGTGCATCAATGTTAATGGTTATAGAAGAGTACAAAGACAAGGTCAAAGGTGTTGCCGAAAAAAGATGGAATGATCACAATGTGATGCTTATTGTGATTTGAGCGTCACCTAGTACAGCAATGTTAAAAGCGTGCTTCAAAAGCCAAGCCCGAGATGCCAAGGGGTGATACTTCATGGCCTTCTCAAGCGCTGGGAGAAGGCAAAGCGCACAGTGCATATAAATTCCTGAAAGCTTCATGAAAGCTTCAATTCCTACTTACAACTTTAATTTTTTAATATATAATTCTTATAAAGGACATATGCTGCAAGAAAATTGTCAATAGAGCACAATGAGTGCCCTTAATCATTAAAAAATTAAGAGGATCGAGAAACATGGTCATTGACAGCAGAATTCTACAGCATAAGCAGCATGCATGATGTTGCAATTACGTCAAACAGCGCAAACTTCAACTGGAGTGTAACAAGCATCATCGACAATGACAAAATTTCTCCAAAGCTCTAAATAGTAGAGAAAAGCCTAAAATAAAAATGAGTCATATACATAGATTATGGAGGATTATTCTAATCCTAATCAGAATTTTCTAATCTCTGAATATAAATTTTTAGAGGGTAATTTAGATCCTTATCTAAACTATTTTGTGTTTACATATAATGGATGATGGATATTGAATACTCCAAAGATCAAAAAGAGATCAGATAATGGTTTCACTAAGTCGAAGCACCTAACTTCACCAAACTTGGATTAAACAAGTGGCCGCCATTCGTGATGTTTAATATCGCAAAGCTAAATGTCATGTAAAAGGCAACAACAACAATAACCAGATAAATTTTTTATGGCTAAAACAATTGTGAGAAGGTTCGCAACCTATTGAATAGATCTGACAAAAACAACAATACCTCATAATATTAATATAGATCAAATCCTTTAGAAATGAATGATTGAGAAATGGGGATGGTAGGAGGTTAAGCCACACAAAGAAATTCAGGCCTACCAGAAAAAAATTACACATTAACAAGCGCACAAAGGCATCATAATGGGCCACTAATGTGATCAATTACGCAATCGAACCTAGGTGAGGTGGGCGTTGCATCTACCATCCCTACATACACCATTCAGAGGAGTTAGAATCGTACAAGATGATGATAAAACTGATAAAACCTCAGATGGTCGAGCTTCTTTGGCTTAATCTAGCAGGAGGGTTTGTTCAAACTTAAGACTCCAATTTGAGCGGCCCAAAAATCCACAAACTCAATGTTGCATGTAGAAACACTGGTTTTTTTTTTTTTTTTTTTTTGGGGGGGGGGGGGGGGGTTACATCATGCCATTTAAAATTGTACAAACATTGATTATGTCAAAAAGAGATAAATTGAGCATTGGTTTTGCCATCAGTGGATAGCTTAAGATGCTACTTCATGTCGAAAGTTATACTTGATCAAACAGAGACTTTTATGATCTTAGAAGAAATTTAAAAAATGAGTTAAATTTTAAATATTACTTATTTACAAGGACTTCTATTGCACCCACTACATGATGGTTTTGAACTTTTGATTCATTTGCACCTGTAATCATCATTTATGAACCCATGAAAGAAAATAAAATAGATTAAGCAAACTGAATATTGGCACAGCGGATGCGTTCAAGCACACTGACAACAAGGAAATAGCTGAAGAAAAGATTGATACATGTGCTAACATCTTGAATGAGGATCAAGGAAACAAGAAACAATGATGGAAGAAGAACAAAATAACCAGGTCAAATGCCAAACCATAAAGAAGATCCATATGTTACAAAGACAAAAATGAACAGAAGAGCATAGAAACAATAACCTTGAATTCTGAGAATAGTTTGAAGTTGAAAAGGATGAATCCACCCTTGCATTTTCCCTAGTAGACACCCCACCAACTGAACTGTTACTGACCCCAGAACCACCGCTGGTTGTAGTGTACCTTTGCATGTCTACCTAAAATAGCCAGCATGCTGCCCCCAATGCCATCACCGTTACTGGAGGCACATTCTAATCTGTGCAGCAGCTATCCAAAAAAAATCTGCAGCCCCTCTGAGACAGACAAATCAGATATCATCACAAGGAGGTTGCCTTTGCAGACTCGTTAAACTGGAAACATCTTTAGTCTTCAATAGCACATTTTGACGGATTAAAAGCTAAAGTCAGGATCCCCAGTTTAACTAACCAACTGCGTATGATTAATGCAGTAGCAACTTTTTCATAATCCTTTGGAAATAAATAAATCGAGTGTATCACGCTACAACAAAAAGAACTCAACAACCTATCCAGAAATCGACCATACAAGGATTCCACAGATTACTAATGGATATCCTTGATATAAATAAAAATGCAAACTTTCCACGATATATCCGGTAGCGCCTGCAGATCAATGCCAAGAAACAGGTAAGTTGCAGTTGCAAGGGCAAAACAATTTTTTTAAGCAGCATCAAAATACTTAATGACAGAAAATAAGAAAATTTCATATATTGAATGAACAGATATGCAGCACTAAAGCGAGAAACCACTAAATAACCTTCTAATACAGCTTCCCTAACTGGAAGCCAGTAGTCAAACACCAACAAGCAATGAAAGCATACACAAACTTCGAGTATTAGGAAACGTGACAAAACCGAAAAGTTTCCCCATAAAAGCCCAGCTGCAAACCCTCGACCAGCCCCAAAACAGCCGCTACAGGGCCGCCCAATTCCAGATCGAAACAGGAACTAGGGCGAAGCAACCCCCTGCGCAGCACGAGCAGTAGGAACAACAGGAAAACGCAGTCCAGGACGCAACAAAACCAGATAGGGCTCGCTAGCGAGAGAACAAGATACCCAAAATCGCTGTGGATTTGTTAAAAAAACAATACAAGTAAACCCTAATAAAGGAGAGAGAAGGGTGAGTACCTTTAGAAGAGGCAAGAAAATAGGAGGAATTGCAGCGCAGGTGCCCTGCAGCGGTAGAGGAGAGGAGAGAGAGAGAGAAGGCAAAGCGTTTGACTCTTTTTAGCTTTGTTTGGTGATGATGGCGACGACGGCATAAATAAATGGCGTATATCAGCGAATGTGCGTGCGCTAGCACGGCGCTGTTTGGGATTTGCTAAGTGTGGACTAGAGTGAGAATAGGAGACAGCATAAAATTAAAATAATTATAATTAAATTTTATTTTTAAATAAAATTTGCAGGCATTCTTATTTTATTTTTAAAAAATATTTATAATTTATAAAAAATTATGAAAAATCATATATGAAATGGCCTGAAATGTCTCATTGCTTCTTTCCTTTTTGTTATAGGTTAAAAAAAATTGCAATCAAACTGATTTTATTTGGTTTCTTTAGATTGGTTGTTAAAGTATCATTTGGACCTATTTTTTCTAGTTATTGGTTAGGGTTTTGCATTTGTTAAATTAATTAAATTAAAATTTTGAATTATATTAAGTTTCCAAATTTTAAATTAAAAACCCATATCAATAAATATGTGATATAAGAATCAAAATGAATGATATTTATTTCATGTGCTAAAATTATAAATTTAACAAAGTTTTATTGGCATTTCTTCTTAATATATGTTATTTAAACAAAAAATTTAAATTTATTATTAAGCTTATTTATATTTTGATTCATCTATAATCAAATCGAACATATCAAACTTAAGTTTAATTTGAGTTTGCTTGGCTTTGTTTTTTTTTTTTTTTTTTAACCAAAACCAATTAGTTTAGTTAATTCATAAATCAGATCATCCAAATCGACCAAATGCACACCTGTGCTCCCTATCTCTCTCTATCTCTCAAAGCAGTCAAATTTTGCCTCTCTCTCTCTTGCTTCTTTTAGAAAAAAATATATATAACATGATAAGGCACGATATATCTGATAATATTGAACTCCCACAATAAAAGGAGAAGATGCAAACAATGCAATGGAGTTTATCATTGGTGATGATTGCATCAATTCATTATACCAACATTTTTGCCCTGATATATTCACCTAGTTTAACTAGCAACATTGCCTTTTATCTAAAAAATGTGATTAATGATGGTGACTTCCAAAAAACATGAAAACAATACATCATTAAGGATTTCACATCACGAAATATGATTGGTAGGGATAATGAATAAATCATTTTTATGGATGAGCATTAAGCACATGGTGTGCACCCTTATGCAAAAGATCAAAAACCTAGTTGATTTGAGCCAATGTTAGTTGATGACGAATATATTCATCAACCTTGTTTACTTATGCATGTATTTGTTAATGGTGTTAAAGATTAGCTCTTGGAGCCTCCAAAAGCATTTCCCTTTCTCACACACCCTATCACAACTTGGAAAGTTTATGTTCATATCTTGTGCTCTGAAGTTATAACACCCATAAATAAATGATGCCCTATATACCTCATGACATCATTCTAAGGCAACCCTAATGACTTGGGCATTTCCAATACATCAAAATTGTAATCCATGACATTATCAGTGAGTTCAATGATAACACACTCTATTGATTTTTTGGGTCTTTAGGATTCACAAATAGTGATACCAAATTTTTTTCCTATTCCATATTGTTTGCTAGAGGCACACTATAGGGTGGCAAAATTTTGATTAATTAAATAAAAATACATAAAAGTAATATTTCTAAAAAAATACAAGCAACTAGTAATGCCACTAAATTTACAAGTATATTAAAATGTGAAAGTTATGGGCTTATATTTTAATTAATTAAGTACTACATTGAGAGTAAGGGGTTAGGTTGGCCATTTTTTTGTGAGGATGGGCAAAATTATAAATTAAGTTTGGTAAATTCCTAAAAAACTATCATCTTCTTAATGGAAAAAAGTTTAAAAACACTCACTCGTAATTCTTGTAACATTCCAATATCAAATTTTAGAGAATTACATATTTTAATCTTTTAATTAATCAACCAAAGTTACTATGAATTTATCAAATCAATTCAGCGAAATCAACTAAAATATATATACATCAAAATATAAAATTATATTCATTCCTCAAAATTCATATGCAATAGTCAATAGTTAAATATATATATTCATCATTCTATCTTTTAACTCCTAACTACAAAAAATTAAACTAAAGAAAATGCAAAAATAAAATAAAACTTGAATCCCATATTTGCCTCACTCCCCTAGATCCTAATGACCCCTCCTAAAAAATATTTCAATCCACATAGTAAGCTAACAGCTTAGTAGGTTAACAAAATCTACAACTAAAATTAATGAAAGGAAATAAAAATAGTATGCATATAGGCATTCATTCAATATTATAAGAACATATAACTATAAAAAGCATGTACCAATCAATTAAATAATAACATATCATATAATCAATAAATATTAATACAATTATTTATCTTAAGTGCAGTTATCAGTAATCGATAACCATACACAAAGGGTAAGTAAACTCTATCATTTCTATACCCATTAGTTCTATAATAGTTTCTATCTATCTCAGTTCATAAAATCTATATACATGTCATATTCATATGCATGTCGTACGGTGTCGATCTTATACATGTCTCACATATCTTGTTCCAATGCATTGTAATATGTCAATCAGTATATCATGTATGATGTATAATTCGTATGTATCATATATTCATGTGTCATTTAGTGCATGTAATTCATAACCAATGATTTGTATATATCATATGATATTGTATTAGTTTTATTATATATGTATCAATCATACATATATCATATAAAAATCATCTCTTAATAAATTGTTTGTGCAATCTATCATATATATTCCTATTATATGCATATGCAAGCAATAAAATCAATGTAAGTAATATAGGACACATGGCTGTCTGTGGTATTTTCATGTGTTCAAATTTGTAGGCCAAACCTACTAGAATCAATCTTAATCATCATATTTATAAGAATCAATCATATCACAAGTCATTTAGGTTAGGTAGCTTTCAAATCATAAGTTGTCACTTCGTGCCCGGCCATCAGATCTTATCAATCTCTCTCATTTTGCCTCTCTTTTCATATCATTTAATATTACTCCAAAAATTTTATTTTAAAAGGAATGCCGTCAACCACTCTCTTATGCAGGGTAACATGTATTCTACTAACCTAAATCAGTCAATCATTTCTAGCCAGTCTTTTTTGCATACACATATTTCATATAATGTATAACATGATAAACATTTGATATAAGACTTAGTGCTCAACTTATTCTATCATTTTAATACATATAAACCAAGAATAATAAAATTCATAGGAAAATATAATGTGCACTTTTTCATATGTACACCCACAATGATTGGATTGCAATAAGTATGCATTCCATACAATAATATTATGATATTTTGATACTTATTTTTTCAATTTTTTTATATTTATCTAAATTTCTCAAATTAGGATATTACCCCCAAAATATATATATATATATATATATATATATATATATCTGATGAAAATTAATACATACATAATGATTCAAATTATAGCATTCTAAAAGTTACTATGTATAAGTTTGCTAAAAATTTAGATATCGTGACTTTTGTGAGTTTAGACTAAATTAAAATCAATAAAACATAAAATAAACTAAATCCCTAAAATCAGAGGTAGGGTAACGGTAGCCAACATTGAGACGAGCAATTTTTTCAATAGGAACGACCGACAAAAATGGCTCTAAAATCTCCAAACCTTATTTTCTCTCTCCTATCTTTTTCTTCTTAATGTCCCTCATTCCTTCTATGTTGTAACTCTTGATTTTTCCTAAGTTTCTTTAGTTACATATGTTTTTCTTGGATACAGTTTCTTTGGCTATTATGATATGTGATTTTATCCTTTTAAATACATACACTTCACTTACTATGAGTATGCATGAATTTAACTTTTTTTGTACATACAAGAAATTCACACATGTCAGCGATAAGAGAGGGACGGTCTAAACGATGGAGGTGAGCCAACTTTTTTTATTGGTATTTATAACATCTCAAACTCTTAACTATATAGATAATATCCACTTTTAAATAATGACATCATGGTTTTTTCTGTTGGTGTAACTTCCTAGGAGGTTACCCATCTTAGGATTTCTCTAGAATGAGCACGCTTAATTATGAGGTTTCTTAATAAAATTTTGAGGATTACACCAAAATATGTCTTGATGTTTAAGAGTTTATCTTCTTTTTACTTACGAGATTTCACAATCTCTCTTAACTTTGACGTCCTCATCAATATCTACTACGGGAAAACACACGATTACTGGCAGATGTTCCGGCGGAAATTATGCGTTGGTAAAGAACGGCGCATGTAACGGCGCTTTGGTGCGACAGAAAAGTTACGACGCATTTTCCGGCGATGCTGGCTGGCCGCCGCCCTGCCGTGCCACTGCCGCTGCCCACCGCACCGCGTCACGCTGCGAACCGCCGAAGTGCCAAAGCCGAACCCACTGCGTCGTGTGAAGTCGCGAACCCGCGCCGCTGCCCGCAATAACGGGCCGTGTAGGGTTGACCTGAACCCACTTCGGGTCGGGTTCGGGTCCAGGATTTCGACCCGTTGCCTACCCGGGTCGGGTTAGGGTCGACCTGATTGAACCCGGGTCAATTCCGGGTTCGTCCCGAACCCGACCCGTGACCCGAAATTGACACCCCTAGGATCACCTATAATCAACTAACTAAACCTGTGATAAAAGTGATGAAGGTCCTGTCAAGGTGACTAAAGTCACTAAAGTCAATCTATGGGAAAGTCTCTAATCTGCTTAGGTTCACCTAAGTGGAAAGCTAGAGCCACATAAGTAAGTTATTGGATAATCCTAGCATCATATGGAATTACCCAAGGCAAATTATTGGCTATGTTATAAGTTATCCTATAGTTAAGCCAATGGGGAAAATGCTAAGTCATCTATAGTCTACTAAGGTGAGATAAGCTCAAAAAGGGTCAAATGAGCTTCTTATGGCTAAACCAATGTCTTTTAAAATATATGTTTTTATGGATTTTAATACAATCCAATGAAAAATTGAGTCTCAAATATTTTGGTCTTAGAAAACTATGAATTAAATGTTTTGGCATTCTTTATAATTTTACGAGCTTATAAACT